TCTGAGCTTGTCTTTGCTGGAAAGGCATAAGAAGCAGGCAGTGGTTTTTCTCACTATTGCCATTGCAGAAGTGTGGGGAGGAGGGGACAGACTGTACTTTTACTTCCCCAGGGCTTGCCTCTGCTCAAAAGACAGAGGGAGCATACAGTTCCCTCCCCCTCCCCCTCCTCAAATGGGGGATTTCTGTACTAGCCACTCACTCAAGCTTTCTCGGTGATTCACAAAAACAAAATTTAAAACCTTAAAATACATGGGACAACAAATTATTAAAAAGCATACATTAAAAACCAAACCAAACAAGGATGTAAAAAAGCAGTGAGGCGATTTTCCAAGGCTTTATCAATGCCAGCTTAACCTTTCAGGAAGCACTTTCCTCCACTGAAAATATTCTTTCATATCATACCACTGATTGGAACTGCCTACAGAAGGGCCTCTGAAGAATGATAGTTAGCTTTAAGGGTTAAGATGATGAAGTTTATTTAGGGTTAGGGTGGTGGTACAAAATAGTATAAATAGTTCTTTTCCCACCTCCTCATTCTGCTGCATGTGGAAACCAGCCAGTCTGACAATGGGAGAAGAGAAGTTCATTCCACTTTGCAGAGTGAAAACAGAACTCAGGAATCTTCCACTCACATCAGCTACAACAAACCTGCCTGCCCCTACTTCCTTTTTACAAGCATCTATGAAGGCCTGAAATGCAGGGGACAAAGGTCCCTGAAGGTGCCTCACAGCAGTTCCACCATCCACAACAGACAAGCCAGGAGCTGACACAGCTCAACAACCTCCTTGAAAGTGCCCACGGTCAGCAACTGGGACAAAAGGTAGCAGCAGTTCCTAGCACTGAAGCCAAAGCTGAAGACTAGGGCCAAGCAGTGGGCTGTCTTTACATCCTGATGTAGGTAGGGTAGCCTCCATGCCAGGCACAAGACAGGTAAAATTTCACTTCAGGAAGGTCCAGTTGATGGCAACAGCTAAGCCGAGTTTGAGCAAGGCTCAGATGTCATCCAGGAGTTAAAGGAACTGCCAGAGAGGTTCAGCAGCTTGTAGAGCAGAACTGGCACTTGGAAGTGTGGTTCAAAGGGGGCTGATTCTGTTGTGTTTGGTTGCAAAGCTCTTCTGCACCTGAATGCAGTGCAGGTGGCCATCAAACCAGGCAGCTAGTCAGGCAAGCAGGCAGTAGCTGGCACACAGCAAGTGTAACCGTGAGCACCAGCAGCAAGCAATGTGTTCTGAAAGTGCACAAAAGTGCAAGAAGTAGTAGAAAGGGGCAATGGAAGTAGGAAGCCTCCAGACCAATCAATTCACCATGGAACTGATTCTCCTCCTCATGGGCCTGGATTTCCCCTTTCCATCCCAGGGTACCTTTCAGAGCTCCCTTTCTAACATTTCTTCCTTCTACTACAGCAGTGCTATTGCTCCTCCAAATTTTCTGTCATCTCTGGTTGTGAGTGAGATGATTTGGTGGGACTTTTCCCTTCTCCAGTTCTTATTTATGATATTGGATTCTTTGCATGTTTACTTAAAAAGAAATCTTAAGTTCATTGGAATATAGTCCCACGGAACTATGTATAGGATTGGAGCCCTACTGCTGGACTTAAGCTTCCCTATTCTTTTTAGGATAAGATTGCAAGTAAATAAGCATACTTGGAATCTCATATTGAAGCAATTCCCAGTGCTGTCTTAAGGTTAGGCTAGAGATGTTCTCCTTTAAAAAGAAATGCCACTTCTGCTTTACATCCGGCAGGAGTTGGGGAGCAAAGAGAGCATGAAAGTTCTGCCCAGTACTAGCTGTTAGAAACAATATTTCCTTTCTTTCGGAAGAGGAAAATATTCCAGGCATGCAGAGGTTTCTTTTTGAAACTTTTATTGCAATTAAGCAGGGGTCTCAAACTCAACTTACCTGGGGACCGCTGGAAGTAGAGTCTGGGTGAGGCTGGGCCGCATCAAGTATTCCACAAAAAAAGGATTTCAAGTATTCCAAAAAAAAGTACAACTGATCCAATCTTCTCAATCTTTACTAATAATAATTCAGAACATGAACGGTTCTTCAGAACATAGGCTTCTCTTACTTCCTCCTCCTCCTTGCTGTCAGAGACCTGACAGTGCTTCCTCTTACACAGCTGAGCCACATTTGGCTTGAGGGAGGAAGCAACTGAGACCCTCAGTATGGCTTGAAGATGCTCATCAGTAAGTTTGGACCTAAACTTTGACTTATTAAAGTTCATGGTGGAGAAGAGCTTTTCACACAGATAGGTGCTCCCAAAAAGGCACGTGGTCCGCTTGAACATCCTGGAAAGCTCAGGGAAGGGAAGGGGCAATTCTCTCAAAAATTGTCCAAGCTTGTCTGCTTTTCCACTCACTTCCCTGAACTTGGCTTTGAGTTCAGAATTGCACTGCAGGTCAATTAGCTCCGTTTGAAGCACGGCGGGGCATCTTCCACATCGAAGGAGAAGGGGTCAGCAAAAATTTGAAAAGTGGCTCTGTGTGTCTTGAAATCTGCAAACCTGTGATCAAATTCTTCCTGTAGCTTTACAATGGCATCAGCATACTTCTCACCGCTGAATAGTGTGCCAGAATCCATGAGTGCCTTGCATGCTGGGAAATGGCGGAGGTTTGTCTGAGAAAGCTGGGCTTTCCATAGCACAAGTTTTGTGGAGAATGCTCTGACATTGTCATAGGCAGCACTGACAAGCTGCGCCTGGCCTTGTAATTTCTTGTTCAGTACATTCAGCTCCTATGTGATGTCAACAAGAAAAGCTAAGTCCATGAGCCATTTGGGATCACTTAGTACAGAAACAGCCATCCCATCTTTCTCCATGAAGGTTTTCACCTCTGCTCTCAACTCAAAAAACCTCTTCAAGATGTTTTCCCTGCTAAGCCAACGTACCTCGGCGTAGTAGAGCACATCCTCATACGCTGACTATTTCTTCTAAAAAGGCGCGGAACTGCCGGTGCTTTAAGCCCCTGGATCTGATATGGTTGATGCATTTCACGTCAGACATCACATTGTCAGACTTCAGGCATTTGCTGCAAAGGGCCTGCTGATGGATAATGCAGTGCAGAGCAATGGCCTCTTCCACAGCCTCTCCTTCCAATTTTCTTTGAACAAGTGCCACGAATCCATTTCTCCTCCCTGTCATTGATGGCGCTCCATCGGTTATTATTCCAGCAAAACTCTTCCATAGTAAGCCGGCATCTGCAATGGCATCACACAGCTGGCGGAATATCTTCTGAGTGGTGGTCTGGCCATGCATTGGAATCACTGTGAGTAACTCCTCCATCACTTCAACATTGTCGTCAACACCACGGACATATATTGCGAGCTGCGCAGTGTCAGTGACGTCTGTGCTCTCATCAAGAGCGACTGAGTATGCATGAAAATGTTTAGCTTTCTCACACAGTTGATCGTAAATGTTACCTGACAGGTCAGAAATGCGCTCTGCCACTGTGTTGGCTGGGAGGCTGATGTTGCTAAACTGACCCTTTTTTTCCGGACAGACTATACTTGCAGCCTGTAACATGCACTTTTTGATGAACTTGCCGTCTTTAAATGGCTTTCCTGCCTTAGCAATCATCTCACTCACTACGTAGCTGGCTTCGACTGCTGCATCACTCTCTTTGCTTGCTTTCTTGAAAAAAACTTGTTGCCTCAGTAGACTTGTTTTAAGTTTGGCGACACAGTCCTCTCTCTCATCTCCCTGGTATTTTGCATACTCCTCAGCATGTCTAGTTGAGTATTGACGTCTGATGTTGTACTCCTTGTGCACCACAACTTTCTCTGTGCATATAAGACACGTCGGGATGCCCCTGTGCTCAACAAAAAAATATTCCGTCTCCCACTTCTCCTGAAATTGCCTGTGCTCATCGCCAACCTTTCTCTTCACAGCAGGTTTTGAGAAAGACATGACTGGGGCTGGGTGACAAAACGTATTTGCACTGGGTGACAGGATATATTTTCCCTTCACTCGGTGACACTCCCGAATCATGTTTCAAGTGACTAACGTTGTTAATTTGCGTTGCTGTCACGATCCTGAGCTGTGGTAGCCCACAGGTGACAAAAAATATAAAACGCCCAGGCAGTGTTCCCTCTAAGCTGCGCCGGGCCACTGGCTCTTTGAAGGCCGCAGGGCCCGTCCCCCATGCCCCGCCCGTCCCGGCGCACGGCTTAGAGGGAACATTGTGCCCAGGGTAACGACTCACGCAGGTGCGTGTGAGAAAAACGCGCGGGCCACACTATCACTAAACTTTGATATCAAGCGGGGCCACAAAATATCGTCCCATGGGCTGCAATTGGCCCACGGGCCGCGAGTTTGAGATCCCTGCAAAAAAGAAAGTTGGAGAGGCTTTCCTCCCTTCTTCCAAGTCAACTCAGCACATGTTCACATCTCATTTTTATGTCCTGCCCCCCCCCCCCAGGCCGTTACTGGGAGATTACAATCTTTTCCACCCGCCTACTTCACACTGCTCTAATATAGGCCCTTCTCTCCCACTTTGCCCCTCCCTGGTGAATTACAATAGGCTCATTTTGCCCTGCTGGGTGTGTCAGCCAATATTCAGGAAGTCATTGAGCAAGCGCTCAGCCATTTTGTCCACGTGCCAATTCCCTAACACTCTACTATCTGATCTCAGCCCTCCCCCCTTAGGCTAAGAATTTTCTCTGTTACTTTTTTTTTTTAACTCTTCCTACTTCCTCGTTTCAAATCATCCCTATCACTAGCCAAGCTTACTTTGGAGGAGACACAATAGCACTGGTTTGCATAGTTCTGACTATGGCTATGCACCAGGGAGGTGTTAGATGAAAGGAACCTTATGCTGCTTTTGGCATTTTTAACACTTAGAATACCAATCAGTATGTCACAAATATTGAGCTTTGAGATTTCCACTTTGTTTTTTTTTCCTATGAACTGAAATAGCTACCTTTTTGCATTTTTATTTGATTATTCCCCCCCTTCTTAAGTCTCCCCCATCCTCATGCTCTATTTTCTGTTTGGATTTTGCAGGGCCAAGAAGACTCAAGCAGAGGATCTGATAATTCCAGTTATGATGAAGCTCTATCCCCTACATCACCAGGACCTCTGTCAGCAAGGACCAGTCATGGAGAGCGAGACCTTGTCAGCTCCAACATGACGCAGCCTACTCCTGACCTGCATGGTATCAACCCAGTCTTCTTGTCCAGTAATCCCAGCAGTTGGAGTGTAGAGGAAGTATACGAGTTCATTGCATCCTTACAAGGCAAGTCTGACATCTTTCCCATGCCCACAAGGGTAAGGTAATAGTTGCAAATTAGACAACTAAGCATTCAAGCATAACTTAAGGTTTTGAATTATAGAATTGTAATAAACAGTAGCTCTATTTGGGCCTTCAGTTCTCCTGAACTAGAATCAAGCTTGCTGGCCTGCCCTTTCTGTCACACATACATATATGTATATCACAGGAGTACACCCCTCACATTTTGTAAATATTTTATCATATCTTTTCATGTGACAACCCTGAAGAAATGACACTTTGCTACAATGTAGTGAGTATACAGCTTGTATAACAGTGTAAATTTGCTGTCCCCTCAAAATAACTCAACACACAGCCATTAATGTCTAAACCGCTGGCAACAAAAGTGAGTACACCCCTAAGTGAAACTGTCGAAATTGAGCCCAAAGTGTCAATATTTTGTGTGGCCACCATTATTTTCCAGCACTGCCTTAACCCTCTTGGGCATGGAGTTCACCAGAGCTTCACAGGTTGCCACTGGAGTCCTCTTCCACTCCTCCATGATGACATCACGGAGCTGGTGGATGTTAGAGACCTTGCACTCCTCCAGCTTCCGTTTCAGGATGCCCCACAGATGCTCAATAGAGTTTAGGTCTGGAGACTTGCTTGGCCAGTCCATCACCTTTACCCTCAGCTTCTTTAGCAAGGCAGTGGTCCTCTTGGAGGTGTGTTTGGGGCTGTTATCATGTTGGAATACTGCCCTGCGGCCCAGTCTCCGAAGGGAGGGGATCATGCCCTGCTTCAGTATGTCACAGTACATGTTGGCATTCATGGTTCCCTCAATGAACCGTAGCTCCCCAGTGCCGGCAGCACTCATGCAGCCCCAGACCATGATACTCCCACCACCATGCTTGACTGTAGGCAAGACACACTTGTCTTTGTATTCCTCACCTGGTTGTCACCACACACGCTTGACACCATCTGAACCGAATAAGTTTATCTTGGTCTCATCAGACCACAGGACATGGTTCCAGTATCCATGCGGGCTTTCTTGGGCATCATCTTTAGAAGAGGCTTCCTTTTGGGATGACAGCTCTGCAGACCAATTTAATGCAGTGTGCGGCGTATGGTCTGAGCATTGACAGGCTGACCCACCACCCCTTCAACCTCTGCAGCAGTGCTGGCAGCACTCATACATCTATTGCCCAAAGCCAACCTCTGGGTATGATGATGAGCACGTGCACTCAACTTCTTTGGTCGACCATGGCGAGGCCTGTTCTGAGTAGAACCTGTCCTGTTCAACCACTGTATGGTCTTGGCCACCGTGCAGCAGCTTAGTTTCAGGGTCTTGGCAATCTTCTTATAGCCTAGGCCATCTTTATGTAGAGCAACAATTCTTTTTTTCAGCTCCTCAGAGTGTTCTTTGCCATGAGGTGCCATGTTGAACTTTCAGTGACCAGTATGTGAGAGCGATAACACCAAATTTAACACACCTGCTCCCCATTCACACCTGAGACCTTGTAACCTTGTAACACTAACGAGTCACATGACACCGGGGAGGGAAAATGGCTAATAATGCCCAATTTGGACAGTTTCACTTAGGGGTGTACTCACATTGGTTGCCAGCAGTTCAGACATTAATGGCTGTGTGTTGAGTTATTTTGAGGGGACAGCAAATTTACACTGTTATACAAGCTGTATACTCACTACTTTACATTGTAGCAAAGTGTCATTTCTTCAGGGTTGTCACATGAAAAGATGTAATAAAATATTTACAAAATGTGAGGGGCGTACTCACTTCTGTGATATACTGTATCTCACAGGTTCCCTACTTTAGATGTCCAGCTTCCCACAGCTGGGCATGGAGATGCACCTGAAAGGCCAGCAACAGTGGCCCCTTTATTCCCATTATGCAGTTTTTATGGCCTGAAAATCTGAATGCTCGACAAGGCTAGTGAACACTTATTGCACATGGTATTGTTAAATTTTGAAGATTTAGATGACAGCGATGTTTTACATGTATTTGTATAGCACAGTGGCTTAAAAATGTGGTCTGTATTATCTCTTCATCTCAGTATGGGAATAATACAACTTAGCATAGGTGTTCTGAAAATTACTTCATGTACTGTGTTAAACCCTTTTCTTTAGAATAGCATCAATTTAAACTAGAGTGAAACAGTAGCTTCCACTTCTCACAAGCTTTCTCTGCTACTTGAATACCTTAGGCTGTCAAGAGATTGCAGAGGAGTTTCGCTCCCAGGAAATTGATGGTCAGGCTCTGCTCCTCCTGAAGGAGGAGCATCTCATGAGCGCCATGAACATCAAGCTGGGTCCTGCCCTCAAGATCTGTGCCAAGATCAACATCCTGAAAGAGACCTAATAACACAGGAAGCCAGTATACTCTCCTCTATAGGCTGGGACCATTTATTTGGCTCTGAAGAGTGGAGGGGAAAGGATCTCTCTTGAGCCTTTATCTTGGTGCTACATAGGGGAGCATTAACTCCCGTGGAGGCATTGAAACATGTTTCGGAACTTCTTGTATTGTCAGCAAGTTTTCTAGCCTCCACATTGTTCCCGAGGGAAACACCACAAAGAGAATAAGTTGTTCTGTATTGAGGAACCTGAAGAGGCTTGAAGAGGACCATTCCTCTTGTCAGCAGCGGATTTTTCATTCTTCTTGCTGTGGGATCTTTCTCCTTTCACATAGATTCAGTTTGCAGGGAACCAGTTAAGCACTGAAGCTTGGTTCATGTTTTCTCATACTGAGGGAGAGAAGTTGGAAGAATCCATTTGGGACATTGAGCAGAACTAAAGTTTTAAATATCACCTCTCCCATTTCATAGTTGATTCAAGGTAGATTGCAAACTGACTTCATACAGAACACTGAAAAGGAAGTGTTAAGATTGGAATGTGTCACTTGATGAAAAACTTTCCAAATTACACTTGTTTGTCTTGTGGAGTTGGGAAACACCATTCAAGATCCAAAGGAGAATCCGATTGTACTGAAGTTCCAGTGGTTTCTATCTTCTAAAAGTTTCCTTTTTTGAGTTTTATATGCTGCCCTCTTCACATTAGAGAGCATATGCAGCAATGGTTATTCTGGCAGGTTTGTATTCCCTGTCAAAAGCGTGTTTATTTTTATTTGTTATACAGATATTCTCATCCTCAGTAAAAAGAATGTTTCAAAAAGTATTGAATGTTGGTCCTCTTGTGGCCTGATTTTTCTCCTTTCTCTGTCCCCAACCTTCACAATACACACCAGCATAGACAGCTTCACATTCAGATACAGAAGAGGCTTTGAATGAGCACAAGGTTAGTTGCTGCTTCCTTAATTGACATTCAGTAATGATATATATCTTCTAATTAATTACAGAATAATTTTACACCAACTTAAAGCATTCCATAATGCTTAGCCCCTTGAACATGTTGCTTGAACATTGGTGTGCCTATCACCAATTCTGTGCCTTTTGAATTCTGTGTTGTACCTAATGCACTTACAACAGGAAAGGCATTACTAGTTTAGTTTTGGAACATTCCTGAAAGACATAAAATCAGTTCCATCATTATCTTTGCAGCACCACTCATTAAATGGGGTGGGGGAGAAGAGTTTACAACCAGCTGCTGTTCCAAATGGGCAATAGTGATTTCTCTTCAGTGATGACTTGTTTTCCTGCTCCTTTATTACATTAAGCACATACAACCTTACAGTACAGTAAGATTGACCAAAGGATGCCTTGTAATGAAAAAGGCAGGCATGGGGAAAGCTTACTTGTAACTGCCAAGCCAGATGTAGTCTTTGTCACTGAAGAATGCAATTAAGGTTACCAAAATTAGCTAAATGTGTTAACTTCTTGTAAGAATGGCATTGTATGTACAGTTTTGGAAGGTGTTGAACAAGCTTTCACAACACGTCTTGGAATAAATTCAAGACAGTTAATTCACATCTTCCTAGTTGTCTATATGGCAACTTACGGATTTTTATTTCAAAGCAGCTGTACTCAGTATCTTACAAAAAGGAAAGCATCAGCTCTTTGAATTAGAAAAATGGCCAAAATGTAATTTTTAAAAGCTTTCACTGTTAAATGTGGCTTTGCTAGTAAGTTATAACAAGTTTTTATAGTGCTAGCGTATAGTACTTGCAGGATTCAAGTTATTTTACCTTTATAAACACTGAAGGCTATCTAGCTTTAACAATATTAGCAGATGCCTTCCAGCTTTTCTATAGCCTAGTGAATGTTTTTGTAATCCTGACCCAACTGGACTATCTATAATAGTCTTTCATTCATGAAGAAATAGTGTAAAGGTATAGTAAGCACAGGCATGTGAGTTCAGGAGTTATAACGGACTAGGTGCTGAGTTTAGCATATTCATTTATTGGTAACGGTCACTAGTTTAGACTAGGCATATTCTAGCTATTATGGATGACCTCCCCACGCACATGGTTTTAACAGTACAGTGTGCATAACCACCATTTTGCATACACATGGAGGCCGTGCCACGCTTTACAAGCTTATTAATTAAAAGAGATACAGTGTTTGGTGCTTTCAAGCCATTTTAATTTTAAAGTTGCTCTTTGTACAAAGTCTCAACACCACCATAAATAAGTGACAAATGCAATGACCCATTCTTTCTCCTTTAGGGAGGAGCTTGACAACAGAACCTGCACATCAAGTGTATCTAATCTCATTTCAGCAAGTCTCTGTTCTTCCTACTGTCATGAGAAACATTACATTTGCCTCATGTGCATCCACAGACCTATTCCCAGCCAGAACCACCTACACCTCTAAGGGATAACTAATAGAGATATGCATGTATATTTTCCTCTCCAAAAGAGAAGGTATTACTATCAAATTCAAATGAATCCAGGAGACCTTAAATTTTATGTGAAGTTCAGTTGGCCCATCTTCAACATCAGTGACTATTTTGAGCTACAGTGCTGCCTTCTGCAAAGTTGCATACCTTAAAAAAACAATCCCCTAAAGTACTAAAATTGCAATGTACCATCCTTTCAATAAGTAAATGCAGTAACAGACTTGACATTTTCAGTAAAAGCAGATAAGAGTAATATCTGTGCCACATTATAAGAATAAAGTTTCTTCAGTTGTTGCAAAAATTTAGCAGAAACTTGCTTCTCTACTTCTATCTTCAGGCTACATTTCATAGCCAAAGTTAAAAACACCCAGAAAAGGCTTGGAATTATACAAAACTTTCATTATTCATATAGGGGTTGGGGTTTCTATTTAAACCCTACCCATGTTCAGCATCTGGCTTCCCTTTATTTTGCAGTCTCAGCCACTGTTATGTTCATAATTAAAGATAAATGACCCATTCTATTAGTAAAGCTTTTAAAGGGAATGAAGTGGATTTTTAAGCACTTGCTATTAAGACAGCCTTTCCCAATGACTTTAGAACCTCGGTTCACTGCACTTCAGACCAGTTAACAAAATATACATATTATTGGCAGCATCTTTTTCTAGTAAATGAAAAAACCCTCTTATCTACATTTGATTCAGGCTTTGGTTAAGGAAACAAGGTGGAGATTCTCCAGACTGTGCTATAGAGAATTTGAAAAAGCTGGGGGTAACTACTTCAAGCCACAAGAAAATAAATATATCCCAACCAAACAATAAAAAATAGAAGCCTGCAAAAAGTTTGTGAATATATTCAATCCTGGCACCTCTAACCTCTCTGTTCTCTATTCATGCTCCTTCTCCTCTGTGGCTCTAGTTCTGTAATCAAGCTCTTGTCCACAAGCTGTAGAAAATTTGACTCTAGAGAGGCAGTGAAGCCAACATAAGGCTCTAGGCAGTCCCTTATTTCAAAGGCCATCAACACAGCTTTATATTCATAATCCTTGCCCTGGAATTCATTGATATAAGAAGAGACAAAGAGCAAGGCAACCATCATGAAAGCAAGCGGTTTAAGGGGCAATTGGGAGAGATGAGGGGAGAAGTGACTGGTACCACCTGTTCATATGAAGGACAGAACAACAGAAGCAGATCACATGGGTAGCAAATGATCATCACGTTCTTCAGACTCCTCTCCAAGTTGGTCATCACCAACACCACGATATGCAGCTGGTACATTTTGCTGTTTAGACCGGCATACAAAGTCACAGCCATCCTGCAAGCAAAGGTTAATATACTAATAGCAGACCACAAGCTGTGATTGCAATATCAGCCCTCTCTCAGAATAATGATCTAACTGTAACTTTTCCTATCAAAAGTTAACATAGTTATTTCCTCAAATGTAAAGGCACTTACAAAATCATGGACAGCCAAATAAGCATGGTCAAAAGGATATCAAAAGGTAGTAGCTCTAGTGTAGACTAATGATAGAAACTGACTATGGTAACTTTAAAAATTGCAATTCATAAAAGTTTGTTCCAGTGTAACATTTTAAAACAGAATTGTGTCTCAGCAAGGGTGGTGAGCAAGGTGTTGGTTTGTTTTGGATCATTTCTACTCCATTTTCCTCTCCTGTGCCATGGTGGTAAGCAATTCAGTTCTAGCCCAGACTTTCTACCATAATAAACACAGTCATTCCATCTGTGGCATAGCCAGGCAGTGAAGAACACTCTTCAAAATACTGCAAAAGCTTGTGAATCTGAGATCTGGCACAAGTCCCAAAAGCTTCCCAACTCCTATTGCAAGATGTAAATGTTAGTTTTACCACTTACTGCCACTAGGTTGCCCAGATCTTGCCAAAAAGCAAAATGAGGAAACTGTTCTATGCCTTTTGCTCCTACCACCAGACGCTGGTAGAGGAATCCCCCAGTGATGTACACTGCAAGCAGTGAAACAAATCTGGAAAATAAATCAAAATACAAATACACAGTGAGAGAAACTGGTAGCTGGTTCTAGTAATATGGTATCTCTTAGGGCTGCAGATGATCTTACGTTTTCATTATTTTTTTCAAATTCCCTACTATTAAGAAAAACCTGAAGACATGCTTTCTTCAAGAGAACAAACAGCATTAAGCCAGCGTGCTCAAAGAACTTTCAATTGAAGGATGATTCAATAAATAAAACACAAATCATATCAAACACCAAACGGCTTAAGAACTGATCAAGAAGCTAATACATTCTTGCTTTGTAAAACCTCTGATTCCTACACCTTACTGCTACAGCACCTACACTAAACTCTAATTTGGGAGAACCTAAATACAGAATTTACAACCAACAAAAAAGAGGTTTAATATTTTTAATGTACATAGCGTTAGAATATGCATGTAGTGGGAGTAAGAGGGAGAAAGTATTGGAATCAAACAATGGCTTCAAAGACCATTTTTCTCAAGCACCCATTAAGAATTCAGGGCCTTGCAATTCAAGAGAAATATACAAGAAGTCCTGAACATGCCTTCCAGCTTCACATCTTTCAGCTTTGGAAATGAGGGAAAAGAAGACCTGAAGGTCTGTTGCTTAGGGTGAGATTTGCAGAAATTCTGCATGGTTGATTGGTTAATTAGCATTGTCTGTGCCTGGCAGCTGATAGATTCAGATTTTCTGATTAGAGTTCATCAAAGCTTTAGTTACCATTATAGAAGTGTAGCAAGTCAGAAGGGGTCTCCCGGGCCATCTAGTCTGACCCCCCAAAGTTCCAGCCAGTTCCACTCATGTAATCCCCAACATGAAGTTGTCCAATCTTTCCTTGAACACCCTCACTGATGGGACCTCCACTACCTCCCTTGGAAGCCCATTCCATATCTAGGAGTCCTAACCTTCAGGAAGTACTGACATCCAACCTGAAACCTTGAACTTTGCCCCACTGAATCACATTCTTTCTTCTACTGCAGGAGAGAACAGATCATGACCCTCTACCATGTCACACCCCTTCACCTACCTTTATGTCGCTTTAAGAGCCCCTCTGAGTCTGCTTTTCCCCAGGCTGAAAAGACCCAGCTCCCTCCATCTCATATGGCATCCCACCCAATTCTGCTACCATCCTTGTGACCCTGTGCTGAACTGATTCTAACCAAACTATGACTTGTATAATGTGGAACCCAGAATTGGACACAGTACTCCAGCTGTGGGCACACCAGAGTCTCACAGAGTGGTACTAACACCTCTCTTGATCTGAAAGCCACACTTCTAGCTATACACACAAGGGTGGCATTCACCTTCATAACCACTGCATCACACTACTGACTCATGTTTAACCTATCAACAAGTACCCTGAGATCCCTTTCACAAGTGCTGCTCTCCAGCCACTTGTCCCCCCATCTGTATTATGGCACCTATTCCTTGCACTTGTCTGCATTGAACGCCATCCTGTTGTTCCCCAGCCACTTTCACAATCTGTCCAGATCCTTTTGGACCTGGAATACCTCTTCCCCAGTTTTGGCCACTGCCCCCACTTTGTTAGCATCTTTGATATGTGAAACTGAGAGATGATTTGGACAACTGACAGAGCTTCTTTTATACAGAGCTTGTTTAGCTCTATGGTTTACCAAATATGAACACAAACAGATCAAATATTAAAAAGAGAATTTAAGAAAAGCCAGGATCCTCCATTTGTTCATCTAGTCCAGCATTCTGTCCACAAAGTGGCCAACCAGCTACCTGCAGTATCCCAACAGCAGGGTATGAATGTAACTCCTGCTCAAGTTCCCAAGCAACTGCTTTATATGGGGATACTAGCTCTGATACCATAGGTAGCATATAGCTATCAGGATTAGCTACTATTGATAGTCTAGAAACCATCCAAGCTGGAGGCCATCACTACTTTTCATGGAAATAAGTGCCATAATCCAGCAATTCTTTTATCTGTCCTGAATCTCCTACTAGTCAGCTTCATGGAATGATTCCAGATTCTAGTATTGAGAAAGGCAGAAAAAATGTCTCTCCCTGCTTTCTCCACACCAAGCATAATTTTGAACATCTCTACTCACCTTTTTCTGAACTAAACAATATCAGCTGTTTTAAACCTTTTCTTCATAGGGGAGTTGCTCCAACCCCTTGATTGTTCTCTGCACTATTTCCAACTATATAATACTTTTTTTCAGGTGCAGTTACCAGAATTGTACACAATGGTCTAAGTGTGGTCCCACCATAGATTTGTAAAAGGGCAGTATGATATTGGCAGTTTTTCATCTGATTGCTTTCTTAATTATTCCTAACACAATTTTCCTTTTCACAGCATCCACATGATGGGTCACCTTTTCATTAAATTGTTGACCACAACCCCTAGGTATTACATGAGCAGAACTGACTGGAGCCAGGGGTCAAACTAGATTCCCTTCTAACCTCAAGATCCCTTTCTTGTTCAATCACTGGTCATGCTCAGACCCCATCAACTTCATGTTGGGATTGTTTTGCACTAACATGCCTTACTTTACACTTGTTTACATTGAATTGTGTTGGAAGGTCCATTTTCCCAATCTGGAGATATGCTTCTGAAGCAGCTCGCAACCCATTTTTGTTTTAACCCCCCTAATAATGTGATTTCTTCAGCAAACTTGTCTATTTCACTGCTCACTCATTTATAAATAGGTTGAAAAGCATTGGTCCTAGTACACATCCCTGTGGGAGCCCACTGTTTATATCCCTCCACTTATCCCACTGTCTCCTTTCGATTCTTCTACCTGTTACAGCACCATATGAGGATCTCCACTCTTATTCCATGACTGCTAAGTGAGGGGCTTTGTCAAAGGCCTTTTGAAAGTCTAAGTAAACAAGGTCTTCCAGTTTACTGACACTCTCAAAGTATCCTAGTGAGTCAGGACTTGAATTTGCAAAAGCCCTGGTTTTTCCCCCCCTTAGCTGTTAAAAGTTAGGACCAGTCACAGTAACCACCAGATCAATTTATCTGGAACTAACCAACTAGATTTCCCAGATTTCCCTGGATCCCTTTTTAATAATTGGTGTTACACTGGCCATTCTCTCGACCTCCTGTAAAGGGACTGATCTTAGGAACTTACAAATATCATTCATTCATAAATAAATGTTACATATAATCATAAGAAGGTCAGCCATTTGAGCTTCTCAAGAACTCTATGATGGACTCCATCAGATCCATCCCTCAAGATGGGCTCCTTCTGAGCCCAATGATTTATTAACTTTTAGTCTGTCAACAGGGTTGAGAATTCCATCTTCTATCATCATTATCTACCTTAATTGCTGAGACTCCTTGCCTAAATACTTGCATTTAGGAAAAGGTATCTGTCCTGTATCCTCTGCAGTGAAGACAAATGAAATTAAATTTATTCAGCTTCTCTGCAATTCCCTTATATTTCCTTAGTACTCCTTTAATTCCATCATCACCCAGTGATCCAACGGACTCTCTAGCTGGTTTCTTCTCCTGATATATTTAAAGCAGAGGTTCCCGAGCTGGGCTGACCGCATCCCAGGGGGTGCAACAAAGAGGAAGGTTGCATCACAAATCACAATGTTTTGCCAAAAATTATCCCTATAATGAAATTTTGTTTATATTTGGATTCAGATCTCTGTTGTCAATCAAGACAAAATCTAGAAATCAGCTGAATCCACAGGCAGAATTGCAGATTGCTATCAGCAAGAAAGTTCCATGCTTTGACAAAATCACGAATGAGAAGCAGGAATAAAAGTAATTAAACCTTATGCTGGCAATTGGGCTTGATTTTACTGTTTACAATTTTTTTCTAATTGCTCAATTTATATTTTAATTTTATGCACCGAATTAAAAGCTTATTTTTTAGTTCAATTTGTTCACCCACACTAATGTATATGGTTCAATTTGTGCTTCAAAAATTAGGAATTTGTCTTCATCTTCAAATGTGATATTACTTTTGTAGGGGGCATGAACATAAAACAAACATTTTCTGGGGTGCAGTCCATAGAAAAGGCGGGGAACCACTGAATTATGGAATGCTTTAGTGCTGGCTTTGCTGTTAGCGATGTGCTCCTAAGAATGCTTTTTCACATTTCTCATCCTGTGCAAGCTTGTGCTCCTTTTTGTTTTCCTGATTTGAATATGACTTCCACTTTCTGAAGCAAGTCTTTTCAACACGTCTTATAAACTATGACATTGCCTTTTTGGACTTCATGCTAGCTTTCTTAAGTTGTGGAATACATACTATCAGAACTTTTATTATGGTGGTTTGGAGTAATCAAGCATTTTGAACGGATTTTAGCCTCAACGCCTTGTTTCAACTTCCTTTTTCTCAATTCCTTCATTTCAAATAACTGTTCTCTTTTTACATGAAATGTGACTTACTCAAATTTGGTCCTCTTTGGCAAGCTTCTGCTTAAATGTTTATTATATCTGATAGTGTGTAAAATCAGTTCAACAGCATTTACATTTCATACTAAGTCCTGGGCAACCCCAACTGTGATTAAATCCAAGATCACATCTCCTCTGGTCAGTTTTGTGAGCAACTGCTGTAAGACAGTCATTTAGGACAGCAAGAAAATATTAGAACTGGAACATTTATCTAGTTAGTACACAGATGGAACTGCTTAATCATAAGTGGCAGGCAATATGGAAAGACTGACCAAGAGGTAACAGTTCATTATAGGCAGTTATGGTAGTAAAGTAACAGTATTTTCCATAATGTTGAGACTCATGGAGATTTTCGAAGGTATTTGACACTTTCTCCAGTTTGGTCCACCAACTTAATTAACCTGTGTCAGCATGCTATCACCTGTTGTGCTAAGCACTTTGAAAATAAAATGCACCACAGCCATATTTATTTTTACAGGTGAGTAAATGTGTCCAAAGCACAATCCAGTAAATTTTTGTTGGGCAAGATCCAGTTGCTAAGGACATAGACAAGATGGTCAGAGAAGCAAGTGCTACCCACTTGCTCAGCCATTGCCTCTCCTGGCTCATAACATGTACAGTCAGAGGCTATAGGCTATAGGAGTAACTACCAAGGAGAGCCTTAACCCAGTAATAGGAATGGAAGTATGTTAAAACCTCCAATATTGTGTGGGGTGAAGGGGGATGGCTGTGGGCATAGGCATGAATCAACAGCTTCATCCCAGTTTGAAAATATGATAACTTCTTGGGGTGCTTTTAGATTCAGCCATGTACTGGATGCTCAACTGACATCTGCGATTTCTGCACAGAGATAGCCTGGCTACTGATATTCACAAACTGACAAAATCCATATTAGACAATGTAATACAAAGAGCTGCCTTTGAAAATGGTTATTAGTCCAAATTTCTAACTAATGGAACAGGCTCACTTAGTGCCAAATTTTAAACAGACATCATTTCTATTTAAACCAGACATTATTAAACTGCATTATTAGATTGGTTTTGATAAACTGTTATACTACACTGTCATGGAAGTCATTTAACTAAAGGATGGACTATTATATTTAAATAAGCAAACTCACATGATAAGCAATATGGAGCCAACACTTAGAGAGGAGCCAACTTCCAAGTCCTCTGGAGTACAGGCCAAGCTACTTTCTAACTCAAAGATGTAGGAACATTCTTTCATCTTCTCCCGCTCTTCTGTCACCATGGTGAAACCACTCTGTTGGGGGAAGATAAACAGCCTCATGGCGGCCCAGCAAGAAACACTTGGGCCCCTGTAGTATATATAGGAACAAAGCCCCTCCAATCTTTCCCAGAGTATTGGCTTACAAGTTCTCCAACTTCTTTGGTGTCTCCTTCCACAGATTAGCTCATTTAAAATTAGTCATCCACTTGAAAACGAACAAGATTCAGAGCAAAATGCTGCACAGACCTTTTGGACTGTGCACCAGTTTGAAATGCGGGTAGCAGTCTGCATGTATGACTGATTCTCTATGTCCATAACTCATGGAAAGCAAGTTAACAGAAAACTGATAAGCATGAAAAGCTCTAGCCTAGTTTTCCCCATAAATACATTATGTTTTACTAAGCAAAGAAATATTAAAGCATGCAATATACCTCGCCAACACAATCCATTCTGATATGTCATCCCTTCCAAGCTGCATCATTTCTTTTTTGAGCACATAGCTCAGTTCTTGAAATAAATGCTGTGCAATCAATAATGAAGGTAATGTGATGATAGCTGACTCCTGAAAATACACATTTTTTACTTCCTCTTTCCATAGTAGCTACTCACTGCTAGTGTCATCCGGTTGCAGATGATCATTACTATTGCTTTTCTCTTCTCAGTTCCACAGTGGCTACTATAGGCATCTCCTCCCTTATAGATCAGCAGAATCCACTTACCTACGCAAATAGAAATACAAGAGACAACCCAAGTGAGGCATGAATGCTATTAGTGGTGCAATGAAGAGAGTCTGTTGAGGAATTAAAGGGTCTTACTTCCATTGGTGAGGTGAGTTTCATTGATTCGCCCCACTACTGTGGTCTTGTTCGACAGCTTATTAATCTGCACCAAGCCAGACATATCACTGTAAACTTCTCGACATACCCTGAACTTGTAGACGTAATGTTCTTTTTCACTTATACTTTCTGTTTCAAAACTGCAGCAAGGATGACATCACAAGGACAGATAAGCTTTTTAAAATCTTAGGGCTTCCACAGTTAGAAACAATCAGAAAACCAATATTTGGGGGGGGGGGGAGAGAGACAAGCAATTGCAAATTCATCAGTGTATTTCCCCCCACCCCCTTGGAGCCCTCTCAAACAAAGAGGATTCCAGAAGCCCAAATCTCTGGTCATTTCCATCTTCAGCAGAAGTGGGGCAGGGCTTTCTCTCATTTTCTCACATGGCTCTACGTACAAGCTGTGTTCACACATAATGCTAATCCATGCTATGCTGGTTCAGGCAATCATGTGGTTTCCATATACCGCATTATTCCCACACTTCTCCACACCAGCAATTGCTATCCCATCAACCCCACATGTTAACAAATCTAGTGGCCTCTTTTGCTGATGTGTGACCTCTGCTGCCCTGTAGCTGTGCCACTTTCCTCCACAACACATAGCACCCAGCCTCTTATACTCCTGCATCCAGCTGCATTCTGCCACTCACTACACCTGGCACTGCCCACTTCCTAACAACATGGGCATATGCCTACACATCTACACACATAGCAAGCTTGCAGCTATGCACTAGGGGCTCCAAGAGCTGCTCATGGGGCTGTGGGATAGAAGCATCTGCACCATGGTGCCATCCACCACCTCCACATCTCTCTGCAGGACAAGCAGAAAGTCCTGAGTGACACACTAGCATGGCTACTGCCCTGAAGGGGGCTGGCATCCATGCTGGGATGGAAGCTCTACCAGTGAAATTTCTGCAGGCAGGACTCCCAGATGCATTGGGAAATCACAGCGCAGATCTTCCAGGCCTAGCAGTGGTGGGTGTTGGCAGGTTCAGAGGGCAGATGACAGTCACAGGGAATGACAAGTCTCACTGTCAAGGACAAGACAGAAGCAGGGGAGAAGGGGACATGGGATTTTCAGGGCACTTGCCCTGTTGGCAATGCCCCACACACAGTCCATGTGCTCCTCGTCTGTAAGGTAATTTCACACAGAGTGTTGCTTCCGCCAGAGAAACAACAGTAGAGCCACCTGCAACTGGCCTTTGCAAAAATGGCAGCGATAGAGAGGCACAACAAACACAGCTGTCTCCAAGGCTCCTGCCACTAAAGGTGGCACAGCACACTCCTCCACTGCCAGAACATTCCAAAGCCACAGGTGGGCATCTGGACAGCAGCAAGAATGCAAAGGTGAAAGGGACAGTGGTTAATCAGAGTGCAGTTGTCTCGGTGGTTATTAGGCAGATCTGGACAGTGTGAATGCAAGAAGGAGCATGTTCGTCTGCAGCATACACTCCTTCCACTGGAAGTAAAAACATGGAGCCTTTGGCTACAGGGCTGCATATACATGCAATAAATGAAATGGAAACCATGCAAAAGCATCATTCCTGGGTTCCTACGACAAAATGGGTCAGGGTACAATATGGAATCCATAGAACAAACTGGTGCTTCTTTGTGTGGTTCCAAGGAGACCAAATGTACCATCTGGTAAGTCCCAGACTAGGTTCGGACAGAACAACAGTCAATGCCATGGTAGTTTCCATCATGGTTTAAGATTATGTCTGAGCCCTGTCCCACTATTCTAGATCAGATAAGAAACACTCCACATTTTATACTCAGTGAAAACATACAAAATCTACAGTGTGCACATCTCCCCTCCTCACTTCCAAGATTTATGTATTTTGAGTTATTTCCTTTGGTAGATTGTCCTTTGTGGGAGAAAGGGAGGGAGGGAGGGAGAGACTGACTCTGACTGACTGACTGACTGAAAGGATTAAAATTAACAATGTAAGAGCCATGCTGTATCAAACCAAAAGTCACACCATGGCCAACCAGTTAGCACAGCGTCTCACCAACAGCAATGAGTGCAACAGCACTCAAATTCCTCAGTAATTGGTACTGTCAGAATCAGAGCCTGACTGGTCCTGCAAGTGCCTGCAGGGCCAGGTGCTCCTCTATGAACAAACAGCTGAGAAGCAATCATACACTACAGCAGAAGGTCCTGGAGATTTACATGATAGACACCTTCACACCACTGCTCTCTGCCACAGTGATGCAAGCTGTCCCCAGGACTCCTTGTTCCTGCCTTGCTTGCTCCAGCCTGCACCCTTCCTGCTATCCCCATCCTCCAATGAGTAGACCTTGCCTTGCTCTAGCCTGTACCATTGCTCCCATACTTCCTCTGAGTAGACCCAGCCTTGTTTGAACTGCTCCTATGTTGGCTACTCTCTACCCCTCCCACCCACCACAAAGAGGAAGGTCAAGATCTTTTCTTGCTGATGCCAGAGTGTAGCACATGGAATAATCAATTAAAGTTGTGACAACCCAGATTCAGGCTGGACATCAGGAAAAGTTTCCTCACTGTCAGAGCAATACAACAGTGGAACCACCTTCCTGAAGAGGTGGTGGGCTCTCCCATACTAGAGACATTCAAAAAGAAATGTCAGCCATTTGAGTGGGATGGTGCAACTTGCTGTTCTGCAACTGCAAGGGTTTGGACTCAATGGCCTTCATGGCCCCTTCCAACTCTACTATGAGTCTGTGATGTAACCTTACCTCATAATGGATTTATACCAACCTCTTGATCAGTTTAGTTGCCCTTTTTCCAACTCTACAATATTCTCTTTTAGGTCCAGTGTCCAGAACGTTACACAGTATTTTAAGTGTGGTCACACCATATATTTGTCTAAAGTGAACGTGGTATTGGCAGTTTTATTTTCAGTGACTTTACAGCACAGTGTTGACATTTTCATTAAGTGGTCCACTACAACCAAGATACTTTTCATCGTCAGTTGGGATTTTTTCTGCCCAGTGTGCATTACTTTACACTTGCTTACTTTGCCAGTTTGATGAGTGTCCTCCCTTTTGGAGTTCCTCACAATCCTTTTCAGTTTTAACCAACTAATTCCAGATCATTCATTGGTCCTGATTCAGAACCCTGGAGTAACCCCCTGTTTACATCCTTACATTGGAATAACTTAACATTTATTCCTACTCCCTGCTTTCTATTTTTTTAGCCAGTTAGCAATCCATAAGAGGACTTCTCTTATTCCAAGACTAAGTTTACTCAGAAGTCTTTTGTGAGAGGTTTGTCAAAGGCCTTTTGGAAGGCCAAGAAATGTGTACTACAGGATCACTGAATGTTTACTGACATACTCAATACACATCTACATTTTTATTGACATACCCAAAGAATTCTAAAATGTTAGTGAGACAGGACTTGCCTTTGTGGAAGCCATCAGGATTCGTTTACAACAGGACTTCTCCCTCTATATGCTTACTGATTCTATGCTGAATAAATCTTTCAACCATCTTACCCAGAAGAGACATTAAGCTAACTTGTCTGTGGTTTCCTAGATCCCTTCTCTTACATTCTCCAGTCTTTTGGTACAGAAGCAAATCTTAGGGACCTTTTTGTAAGGTCAGTAATTTCATACTTGAGTTCTTTAAGGTTAAATACCATTGTCAATAACTTTGAACACTTCATATTTTGTCACCACTATCTCTCTTAGTTCCCAGAATCAATTCCTGAAAATATTAGATCCCATATTTGTCCTACTATATGATGGGAAATGGGTGTCTTTATTCATTAACATCTTGGTTCTTGATGACTACAAGTTTCATGAGAAACAGAATATTGCCATTGCAGTTTTGAAAGATTTCTGAAAAGGTTAATAGTAACTTTGATACAGTAATTCTGAACAAGCAAGAATCTCAGGATGATCACTATGAAATCATAGTGATCACTAACCAATACTAAAAGGTAAATAAAGCTGCACAACTGACAAGTAACTATGGGTGTTGTATATTCCCTAAATCAGCAGCTCAAAATTCCCTTTGAGCAGTTGTCCTTGACTTGGTTAGATCAAATCCACCACAGCCACCCATATTTCCTCAGCTAAAGGTACTGTACCTTTGGTTGGTAAGTGGTTCCAGTCTCTTCAGCAGTGCTAATTCTTTAGAAGATTCCTTGCCTTTATCCCCAATAAGGTCACACGTGTTTTCCTCTGCCAGCACAGTGGTTACGACTGCAAGCAACATGGCACAGAGGCAAAAGGGAGCTAGGAGCATTCTATATAGGAGAAAAAAGATCAGATGTAGATGAATTGTTAATAGTTCTTCCTGATGTATAATCCAGAGTTCTAGGGATCAAAAGGACAGTTAAAATGTACTTTTCCTTTATGACTTTGAAGAAGTGGACACTTTATGATAGTCTCATAGCCTCAAATTAAGTCAGGCAACTGAGGGAATCTCAAATATCACTGGTCTTACATAAAGGACAATTTGGAATCACAAGTCACAAAATCAAAGGAGACCCATTATATAAAAAATCTACTCGTGTGATGTATACTAGGGCCAATCTCCAACACAATCATTCTAAAACAGAAGAGCCTACTTGAGTTATGAGGAGGAGACTGTCAGCATGTTCACTAACCAGCATTTCTTTCAACTGCTTTTGCAGCCCTTTTGTAAAGAGCCTACAGAAAGGTGAGTGGAATTGCTTAGGTTTGGTTCAATTCAAGTGCCTATATCCCTAACTAAAGAGACATTACATTTCTGCACTTGCAGCTCACTGTAGCTGTTCTGAGCAAATCAGTGTGGTTGGCCTCCACTCCTAGAAGCCAGGACTACTTTTTACTAGTTCAGGCTGAGAGTCAGTGTATTGTAGTGTTTAGAGTGTACAACTGGGTCTCGAGATTCAGGTGCTAGTTCCCATTCACCTATGAAGCTCATTAGGTCACTGTGGGGCAGTCACTGACTCTTCGACTAACTCACCTCATAGCGTTCTTCTAAAGATAAAAGGGAGAAGCAACCCATGCCTGTTGCACTAGGATCCTTCCAATACTATAATTATTATCCTATTGCATGAACTGGGAAATGAATCATAGAATCATATAGAATTGGAAGGGAGCTAAAAGGCTATTGCGTCCAACTCTCTGCTCAATGCAAGACTCTAGTTACAGCATCTCTTACAGATGGCTGTCCAACTGCCTCCCTAGGTAATTAATTCCATTTTCCCCACTGAAAACAAAGGAAAACAATGTTTGCTACTGGGATACAAAGCTTGCAGGACTGATTTCCAGCCACTCCTGTTTGGTTAATCAGGGAGTGCTAGAATGAGGATCTTGTTGCCATCACAAGAACATTCACAAAATGGTGCAATTGCTTCAGTCAGTACATGATTTTTACAAATCAGATATTTCTGTGTGATCCATCATTTCCATAACTTTTCAGGACCAACTATCACTTAACTGAATGTACCTTTGCTTCAACTGTTGTGCAGTACAGAAGTGTAATGAAGCAACTGGTTTCTGAAATCCCAGCAACAGCATGTAACAATTCACAGAATCATAGAACAGCAGAGTTGGAAGGGGCCATGAAGGCCATCCAGTCCAACCCCTGCTGTTGCAGGACACCACCTTATACCATCCCACTCGGGTAGCTGTCCTGTTTCTTTCTGAATGTCTTTAGTGTGGGAGAGCCCATCACCTCTCCAGGAAGCTGGTTCCACTGTCGTATTGCTCTGACAGTGAGGAAGCTTTTCCTGATGCCCAGCCTGAATCTGGGTTGTCACAGCTTGACATGATTATTCCATGTCCTACATTCTGGTATCAGTGAGAAGAGCTCTTGACCTTCCTCTTTGTGACAGCCTTTGAGGTACTTATTGAGAGATGTCATGTCCCCACTCAGCCTTCTCAAGGCTGAACATGCCCAGTTGTCCTAGTCTCTCCTCAAAGGGCAGTGTTTCCAAACCCTGGATCATTGTTGTTGCCTTCCTCTGGACCTTTTCTCACAGAAAGTGGTAAAAGGCATGTAGAGGATCCTATAGCATAACTTTCCCCAACCTGGCTTTGCAGATGCTTTGCACTTCCACAAGCCACAGCTGGCATAACCAATGGTCAAAGAATGCTAAGAATTGTAGTCTTAGTGTTCTGGAGAGCTCTAGGTTGGGGAAAGCTGTTAGGGCACAATACAGGAATCTAAAACAAGGTCATAAATAGAAAAGTACTGTGTTCTACAACTTCAGCCCAGGCAGAACATGGATACAGGAGTTAGGCTGCACAAGCAACACTTTCGAATGACACACAAAGAACTCTGAATCAACAGTTCCTTTAACCAGTGTATGTTTCACATCCTCTTTATGTCTCCATGAGATGGAAGTTGATACTGAATCAACTTGCCTAGTCTTAATGCTTAAAATCCCATTCCAAAGTCTCTTTCTCTAGCTAGCCACACATTTTTTTTGCTTTGCTCCAATCAAATTAGTACCCTCTCTCTCTTAACAACTTTCACATGGTTTTCATGTTACATTATTGCACATTTTAATGTTGTTTCTTAGATAGCGGCCAAGAAAGAGCACATCAAAAGCAATAATTCACTCATGAGAATGCATGAAGGCTTCTGACACCTAAAGTTAGTTTGGGGCAGGGGGATTCCTCCTACTTCAAATCATTCAAACACGAGTGATCTAGTAAATATTTCTGCATAGCAGTACGAACTTATGTGTGCAAGGTTCCTCATTCTGCCCAAGTAAGGAATTTTGGTGTGCTAATGATAACCTAAACCCTAACTATAGGCACAATCCAGGCAGAGGGAAAGAGGGAAAGTTTACTATATGCTTAATGGTTTCCTGTTGAAATCTGTTAAGCCATTAAAGTGCGTGGCTTTTATTAAATTGTTGACTGCACTGAAGGACAGGAGAAATTTCTCTAATCCTTAGTCTGTTCAAAACTTTTACTCCAAGGCCTACCATCTGTATGCATACAGTACAGCACTACTCTATGTCTGGTGCAGACATGGAAAAACCAGCAGCAACCTTCCAACACCCTTATTTAGAGGTCAAATTAGCATTTCTGTCAATAACTGTGACCCAGTTTTACTTTCATGGTGTGAAACAGGCAAAGCACATGCAGCACTTATCTCTAAAAGGCACTGTGTTTTTTAGAATAAGAAAAATGAAGGTGAAGTAAAGACAATGCCATCTGTACACTGAGACTGGTCAATTTTGCCTTTCTCAATCTTGCTGAGAACGAAACTAAAGGCAATCTTAGGTGATCCCTCGTTCGCATAACAGGTAAATCAATACACATGGCTACCCCTCCATGCCCAGTTTGTCTCGGATGGCCATGTGTGCCAAGAGCCCTCTGGAGCCTTCCACGTGCTGCGCCTATACCGTTTCACAGAGCTGTGCCCGTCCTCCCCGCCACGTGCAAAGCCCTGCATTGACCTGCGCTGTGCACGGCAACCCGACTTCGTGGACCCCCCCATCACCCCGTCATTACAAAGTGCCGACCTGGGCAAGCTCGCTTCGAGCTGTTAGACGCAAAGAACTTAGGGAGGCATTGCAGAACTTCAGCCAGCACTTAAGAATCTGGGGAAGAAGAAAAGGCGACATGCTCGTCCCAAAGAGCGAAGCTCTGGAACCTGCAGCCAACATGAAGCAGAAGCTAAGACCAGAGGAAAAGAGGGAAGGGGTGATGCCATCACCTGGGGCAGCAACAACCCAATGGAGAGCTTGACCACGTCGTGCACGGAAAGTCACAGTCTCCCGCCTGTCACAGACACTGGATTCCGCCACTTGCTTGCAAAGCAGCCCGAACCCGTTAGTGGAGCCCGAATAGGATCTGCCGATTACTCATGCCGCACAAATGGCAACTCTTGACGGAAGAGGAAAGAAACACCTCCTGAATCATTTTCATCCTCCTGAGCCCGCCCCATGGACCGGAAACAGGAAATAGTTGTCACTGATCGGCGACGATTGGCTCTCGGAGGACCTTCTCGCCAATCAGATGGAAGAATCGCCCAGATAGTCCCGATCAAGTTTACTTCCTGCCCAATAAGTAGTAGAGGCTGCCTGCCCTCTTTGCCTGGGGGGGGGCCCTCCACGTGACAGATAACTCGAGACCCAATCGGCGGGAGATAAGGCTTGGTTTTTAAATCACGTGCTGAAGTTGCTCAATGAGAAACGGGTAAAGCAAGCGTGCTTCTCATTTCCCCTTTACCCCTTAAAACTGTGTTTTAAAAATGTTTTAAAAATAGTTCTAGCAAACAAATCGAAGACACAGCCAGTACGGCTTTCTGTTTCGTGGAGTGGAATGCGATGTGTCTTAAGAAAACCACAACCACGGTTTGAATGACAGAAGTATTCTGTCTTTGCCTCTGAAACTTTGCGATCTGATATAGTTATTGTCCGATTCTGCAAGAAACGGGTCCATCCTCATAGGGGAAAAACCAAGCCAACAGTGTGTATTAAGAATTAGGCGCAACAAGGCAATGTACGTTATAGACGTGTCGGTAGAACGACCCGGAACTGCACAGAATACAATTAGAACAAAGCTTTTATAGTTTATGAATGAAACTTCCTCATGGGCTCCCTCCCTCTTCAGGAGTCTCGGAATCTTCATCCCCCCTTTCTTACCTTATCTAAGGAAGACCCTTTTCATTTTTTATATATTTTTAATTTATTTACAAAAACTACATAACAAAATTAAATTACATAATGCATAGACTAAAAATACATAACAACATAGGCTAAAAAATACACAACATCATAAACTAAAACTATACATAACATAGCGCTCCCATAACCCTTGGAAGTAAAGCTTACAAAAGATCATCAATATATCCGTGTCTCTCCAAAAATACATCGAATGTTTCACTGGATATTTCCCTTTATGTTTCTCTAATACATACAGTAAAAAAAAAAAAAAAAACCCATTCCATATACTTGTAAAATCACTTTTCCCTTTTCCCTCTCCTAATTTTCAGATCACATGTTAATTTATCATTAATGGCTAAGTTCCACATTTCATTATACCAGTCAACAATTTTGATTAAATCTATACCTTTCCAATTTTTAGCTATTAGTAATCTGGTGATGGGAACCATAATAATAATAATTCTTGTTGTGCTCTGTCTTGTGAATTCAAAAAAGTATTCAAAAGCGCCATAACCGGGAACATCAAAATCTTTCTATCCATAATATTACTAATTTCCTTAAATATCATTGCCCATTCTTTCTGTTTCAATTTCACACAACCACAACATATGATAAGTCTCTTGTTCTTTTTTGCACCTCCAAGAAAGAGGTGTTATTTCAGGATTAATTCTGTGTAACCTTACCGGTGTATTACACCATTTCCAAATTACTTTAAAACAATTCTCCTTTACTCTGATCAACATATTCTTTGTAATGCTATTATTTCTAACTATTTCCATAGTTTCAACCAGTTTACTTGACTGATATCTTTATTCATATCATCTTGCCAACTTTCCAAAAGTCTACATCACCCATACTGCCCTTCTATTAGCATTTTATATATTAAGCTTGTAATCCCTTTCCTATCGCTACTATCTTCCTTCTCTGTACTCTCTACCAGTTCTTCAAATTTAATTAATTTTCTTATTTCACCAAGTGTTTTCCTCATCTCCACTGCCCAATTTTGTAACTGAATCATCTTCCAACCCAAACCCTTCAATTCTGCACATATTTGACCCATTTTCTCTTTATTAACCAAAAATTTTAACCAGTCCTTCAGTCTAAATATGTTCTGTTCTCTTAGTACTCTCCGTAACTCACCTTTCAAATCCTCGGGGAAATTCTTCATTGCAATTACTGGAGTTAATAGGGAAATTAAAGAGCTTAAATCTCACAGTTCCAACATATTCTTTAGGAAAAATATTCTTCAGGAATGGATTTTCTATTTTCTTTAAATCTAAAATAGTATTCCTCCCTAAATAAAATATTTTCCATATGAAATTAAATTCTATATATAGTCCCTGAAGACAAACTTCCATATTAAAACTTACTACATGTTATACTAATTTGCTATGGGTTCTCACTATTTTAAATATTTCTTACTTTCCATTACTATATTACCCACACCTTCCCATCTAGTTTCCCTCATATATTAAAGCTCAGTTTAGTTCTAGTACATCTAAGTTCCTTTGCACATAAGAGATCCTACTTAGCTTAAACTCTAAATGTATAACAATGAATATTTTTTACCCTTTACAACAGTTAAGTCCAAAACAGCAATAATGCAATCTTCTCCTGGTCCATGCAAGCTCCAGCTAAATCCTACGATTGGGGGCCAACTATCATTTCTAATTAACCGTTTTATATCTGTTTTACCCAAACAACCCAAAGGACCATCTTCACATCAGTTCATATCTATCTTCTCCTTTTTCTTGGTAGTTTAGGGCTCTCCTACAGTCCCTGTAGTATTTTCCTCTCCTATTGGCGGTTGCTCTGGTGACCTGGGATCCTCTCTTTCTGATGCCTCTGACTCTAAATCACCGACTTGTGTCAACAGTTTGTCCATCTGGTTGTCATATTCCCGACGTGATAAAAAACCATAATCTCTCAACCATGTTAAAACCTCTTCCAGATAATCTTTTCGATAATACTTCTGATTATGTTGAATTCACACAAAAACAGGATACCCTCAGCCATAATTAATAGATTTTTCTCTCAACAGTGCCAACACACTTTAAATTTTCCTTCTAAATGATAATGTTTCAGAACAGAAGTCACTGTAAACCTGGATTGGCACTCCCCCAATAGATAAAGCCTTTGGATTTTGTCTTTAAGAAAGCATAAGCTTTTCCTTTTTTTGATAGTTCACAAACCTCACAAAGACATCCCTAGGGGCTCCACCAGGTCTCTAGTCTCACTCTATGAACTTTTTCAAGGTCCCACTCAGAGAATTGAAGTTCTTTACAGTTGTCACTCATCCAACTTTGAATCTTTTGGATAAGTTGTGACTCCAGGTACTTCCAGCAAATTCTTAATTCGAATGTTGGTTCTTCGTTGGGAATCCTGTAATTGAATTATGCGTTTTTGAAGTTCCTTGGACATAGTGTCCTGGTGAAAGATCCTTGTAGAATTTCTATTAATCTGGCTTTCCAGAATTCCCAGCAATTTTTAAAACTCTTTCATGTCTGTGCTAAGTGCTCCCAACTCCTCCAAGAGCAACTTCTTCAACTTATCATTTAATAATTGTATTGTCGAAATATCGCTGTTTTCATTTCTAACAAGTTCAGATTATTAATTTCATCCCGTCGACTATCAGCCATGTTTTAACCACTGATAGGATCAAGAAAGCAGGAAGAGTAAAGCCAAAAGTATGCGAAAAGGTGGTAATGCACTTTATCCACTAGATGGAGCTCTACTTCAAGAAGAGTTGTTCCAAAAAGAAGAGGATTATTGTAGAAAATGCCATTTTTATTTACTTCAGATAACTAGGATCTTTTCAATTTCATATATTGTTCATATATAAACTATTAGTACCAGGCCTGTATCTAATGTATAATAGAGAAACAGAAAAGATTCCACTTATGCCCAATGCCATCTTAAGTAATATAGCTAGAGTAATAAAGAATAATAAAGAGGGGATCTCTGCTGATTTTCCTCGAAAAGTAATTAATTCTTATCCATCCGCATTCTTATCTTAAAGACACTTGGACTTTTTTTCGTAAACTATTATTGTTTACAATCTTCTACTATCTTGGTGCTCCAAAAAGTTTCAGTAACTCCCAGGAAGAAGTCTGAGTCCATTAGTCGCACTTTTCAGATCCTCATTTCAACATTCTTTGCCCCTCTTATCTTGCCAATTCACAGTAATAATTATCAGTATACTCTACCTAAAGTTTAGATAGTATCAGAATTTTGGCATACCCAATGTAAGTATAAGCAGGCCTCAACAAACATTTCAACAAGACAGGAGCGCCATTCTTAAGCAGCCATCTTCCAAGCTGGGAAGCTCCTGCCCCCCAGGATGACCCTTTTCAGAGTGAGCTCAAAAATTTATCCTTGGCCTGATTCCTTCTTTTTCTCACATCTGTGAGCAGTTTCTGCACAGCTGTATAACCATAAGTTTTCTCTTTAACCCTGTATTTGCCAGAACAAAGGTGATACCATTTTCTCCAACACTATCAGAATGAATACATGATGATCACACCGTTTTTGCTCAAATTACATTATTTCACTCTTCTTGTCACAGACATAGTGGTTCTTCAATGAACCAGGCAGGCAGCTTAGTGCAGGAGTGTATTAGGCAAGTGGTTTTCCACCCTTTTGTTTGCTTTGTGATTTTCTGCTTTGAACTGTATCTGTAATTGATTTGCATCCTTGGACTGATTTTGCTTCTTATTGTTGTGTACTCAGAATCTGACCAACATTCTCCCATTTTGTGTTCTTGAATCCCAGGGCCGTCTTAACGCATGGGCCTGATGGACACTTGCCCGTGGGCCCCATACTAATCTGTGTATGTTAACCCTTCATTTTTACATTTTTATTCCTGTGAGTAGTTGTCGTAGGGGCCCCAGTACACTGCTTCGCCCAGGGCCCATAATGCTGTTAAGACGGCCCTGTTGAATCCTTAATCCTTTTTCCTGTTTTCACCTAAAACCATGGTCGTGAAAGGGGGAAAGCTCACAAGAGTCACACCAGGCTGTTTTGACTCCCAGGTTGCATGGGATATGTTGAGTACTACTGCAGTCTAGCAGTGCTCCCTGAAGGACATAGGCTGGCTGCCACAAGACCCAGTGAGAGCCTTGGTGGGTCATTCCCAAGGGATTGAGAATACCTGGAAACTGAAGAGACTTGGAATTGTGTTATTCTCAGTGGGGGCAGCCAGTACCAGTGTGCAGTGCTGGACCAATGTGCATCCTCAGATGAGGTTGCTGGCCAGTTGCAGGTTACCACCCCATCCCAGAGTCTCCATTATATATTTTTTTAAAAGTTCCCAATATACAATTTGGGAGGATTATACTGCTTATTTCTTTATTTCTTTATTAAAACATTTTTTTCTTTCCATGGATGTATTGTGTTACTATCATTCTACTGTTACAAGAGCTGTAGCTCTGAAGGAAAAGGTGAGATCTGAACCAGTTTTTCCTCTACCTTTAATAGATGCTGGACAGATAGCTTCCACATGCATCTGTGTAGATTACATATAAACTTTTTCTTTTTTTCTCTTTTGTTTTTTCTTTTATTGACAATCCTAAAAAAAATCACAAAGTTAAACCATTAACGTTATAATATAATGGAATATTCATTTTATTATACACACAATAGCTTCCAAAACTTAAGCTGACCAGCTTTCCGGCCAGTTTCTCACTTTGTTTGAGTCCCTGTCCCAGACAAAGAGTGGATGCCATATTTTAGATTACATATAAACTGAGGGAGATTTTTTCAAAAATCGGTTGGTGCCTTTCACAACACAATCTGCCGTGGTGTATCCAGTCCCATCTTACTGTTTGATGTTGTTGATGTAATCATTCTGAGCACTTTGCAGATCAAAGGTCTGTGTTGATCCAGAGCATGTACTCAGGGACACTTTGCTCTAGAGGAAGGTACTTTTTCCCTGCTCAAATACCTGAAGCACATGTGCTAGATTTTTTGAGCATAGAAGCCACCAACCTAAGAGGCAGGGCAGGGCTTAATTTAAGTCAAAATCCAACCTTACTTGTGTAGAGTAATAATAATAAGCTGGTAGCCATATACCTTATTAGAGGATTTTCTCTAATATGCCGTAGGGCATATTTCATTTCCTCTTGTCACAGTGCCTGGTTGTACATCTCCCTCCCCTGCGTCATTTAGTTTAGAGCCCTTCTAATGAGATTCTTTGGGGCCAAGGACTTGTTTTTTGCACTGTGAGATGTGACCTATATTTGCCAGTAGTCCTTCATCCTAGAAGTTTATCTTTTGTTCTCAGAAACCAAACTTTTCTCTTTGGCACCACTGTCTTAACCAGCTGTTTTCTTTCCTTGATCTCTCTTTTGTCCTTCATTGCCATGGGCTCCTAGCATGCAAAAGTCCCAGATTCTCTCTCTTGATTATTCCTTGATTCTCCCTTTCCAATAGAACTGGGCATTTGATCAACACAAGGAGCTCCCAGAAAAGGACAAGGAGTGCAAAGATGGGAAGCAAAATTCATGTGCCTGAGCTGTTGATGAAGCAGGTGCTCATGGTGGTGATCTTTTCTTCTTCCCGGGAAGGGAGACCACACGTATTTTTATGCCGGCCCACCTGGCGGCAGTTCAAGAGCACAAAGGCCTTACAGCTGGAGGAAGAGGAAAGGGGTTCCAGGCAGCCAAAGGAAACCACAAGGCAGGCTAAGCCTTTGGCTTGCCATTTCACTGCATGCCTATGAAGTGATTTGCAGCAAGGCGGCTCTCGATTTGAGCTGCATTGCAGTTTTACTGGGGTCAGAGGTTGGCGATACTGCTGCAGGTTCCAGTTGAACTCCCCTCCTTCAGCCTCCAGCCCTGTGCACAACTCTAGGTCAAAATGGTGAGTACAGCACTCACCCAGCAATCTCCACTCACCCTGGAGATCTTTCACTTTTTGGATGAATCCGTCAGTTAGATACAAATCCAGCTACGTGTAGCAACGTTTGTGTCCCCAGAAGGGAGCAGCAAGGTGCCCCATCTACATCCTTTGCTGCCTCTCTCCTTGAAAAGAAAAGCATTTGAGATTCTAAAGAAGGAAGCAGAATAGTAGAGGAGATATTACTGATTTGGGAGAGACAGAACCTCCTATTGCCAAGTATGGTAATGGTGTGGGAGGAAGGAGTTGACAGAAACCTGAGTGCAAGAAGGAAAGGAGGATCTGTGTGAGGAGTGTTTGTGAAGACAATGAGTGATATATCTCAGTCAAAACTTCTTAACATACTTTGTTGTATTTATTAAGAACAAGTTACAAAACATTTTGAAACTATTGCCTTTATTTTACAAATAAACTTTTGGTTTGTTTATTGACAACCCAGAGTCATAATCTGTTTGATTATCAGCGTCTCATCCTGAGTGCCACATAGTTGAAGGAAGGGGCCTTCCAGTTTCAGCACAAGAGCTTGGCAGGTTAATTAATTAGATTAGGATTAAATCCTTGGTGGCAGCATACCTACTAAGAAAAAGAGAGGGGAATTCAAGAAGGTGAACGATACTCTATCCCAGCAAGTTATAGGAATGCACTCGTGATGATATCCTTTTCACACATACCGCCACCAAGCTGGGTTTTGCCCATCCTCATTCTTTCCCCTATCCCCTCTTTGTTCCATCAATATTCAAGCTTTGAAGAAACAAGTGAAAACAAGACTGGGGCCAGAACGTAGCTCTGTGGCACTGCAGTTGCCAGTTGCCATATCTGTCCAAGGAGGCCTTGGTGTGTAGTTCTTTTTGGATGAATTCATCAACCAGTTACAAATTCAGCTAATAGTAGTAACGTTTGTATTCCTGGAAGCAGCAAGGTGCCAAATATACATCCTTTGCTGCCTCTCACCTTGAAAACAACCCTGAACAAGACTATATTTTGCTAATTATTACTCAGGCAAGTAGAAGCACCTAAGGATACGGAAGTAAACTCTGACCGGTTTTGCTATAGCAAATTTGAGGACCAGGAGACACAAGAGATGCAAAGAAACTGACCTGGGCATCCACCTTTCCACCCTCTTATGCTAGCCTGAGAGAATTGCCTGGGACTCAGGGTGGGCTTTACGTACACAGTCATGATCGTACTCTATTCTACAAGGAATGTTTGCTATTTTCTAGATTGTGTATTGTTCATTCAGAGTTACTTTTAGCCTTGCTTTTATTTTCCTGGTTGAAGGAGTCTGCCAGGCTGGCTGGGGCAGATGTGGAGTGTAAGCATTAGAAACCAGGTAAGATACCTTAAGTAAACAGTGAAGTGATAGTAGATGGTGCTCAGATTGGAAGCATGATATTTACAAGAAAGAGGATAATGATGATAATGATTTGGGACTCTTTCCATGCTCCCAGATTCGTTTCCCGGGACCTCGGGAGAGACAAGGCTATCAGCAAGCAAAAACCAGGCCAGAGCATCAGCAGCAAACACCAGTGAAACAGAGCAGGTAATGGACTCCTCCTCTTATCAGTGAGCTTCTCCGAATGTTGGGCTGGAAGCTCTGTATCTCTTTAGAAATAGAGAGCAAGATTGTGAGGCAGGGAGACTATCTGCTGCCTAGACAATATACTCTGCAAAGGCAGTACCAGTATAAAGCTCTTGCACAAGAATATGTGCAAATGTGCTAACAGTTCAACCATGCTTCAGCCACATGGGCAGAGTTTTGGGAGAGGCTAACACCTCACAGTAGCCCAAGGAGCTTCGCCTACAGGCAGTATGGAAATGAGATAAAGAACAATGTCAACAACAATAACCATTCTGTGAGTTTTAGAGCAATTTACTATAGCCAGGAAACAGTTGGTAAAAACATGTGACTGCTAAAAAGGTAAAATAACTAGAATAGGAAAATGAGGGGCTGAGAAGCCCCAAAAAAGAGAGGAACAGTTTCTCTAAGCGTATAAATTAAGAGGGGAACAGCCTCTCTTAGCATCTAGGTTGATCATCCTGTTCTAGGAGGGGTTACACTCCTCATGAAGGAGCAAGGTTATAGTTGGCAATGCTCCTTGACCCATCTGTCACTTGAGGCTTAGGTGCCCTTGACTTGGAGTGCCTTCTACCAGTTTTGGCTGGTTGCCCAGCTATGCCCCAGGGACAACCTGGCTTCAGTAATTTACGGCCTGGAAACCTCTAAGTTAGATTACTGCATTGCACTCTAACTGGGGCTGCCCTTGAAGACCATTCAGAAACTGCAGCTGCTAAGGGACACAGACAAGGTACAATGACTTATAAGCCTCTCAGGCTGGTGGCCCCACCTCTCTGCTTCCTCCTATCCCCTCTGGCCTCTCTGGCCCCGCCTCCCTTCCTCTCTGCTGCCCCTGTCCCCCCGCTCCTCTGCCCAGCTCCTACCTTGCCAGTCCCCTCAGCACTCTCTCCCTGCCTCTGCCGCTCCACTGCTCTGCCAAGAGGCAAGAGTCAAAAGGCTCTTTAAATAAATGACATTGCAGTGGATCAGAAGCATGGAACTTATGACATTATTCTGCCATATCACCTATTGTCCCTAGGTATTATGAAGAGAAAGAAAATGGTGTGGCTGATATGCATCTAATACCAGGCAGCCCCATTTCTGGAGGTGCTAAGCACTGCAGGAAGTGTGTTATAGGATGTTGCTGCTTTGAATCAGTCGCTCAACATGTACTGGAAGTTGCTACCGAGTATTAGAACTTCTTTCTCATGTGTACATGAGTACACAATAAATACCTCTATTTCCTGTAGGGAAGCACTTTGAATGATGGAGCGGGCTCTTGGGGTTCCACTGCTCACCAAATTCTCCTGATGATTACAAACATTCCTGTGGTTATGAGACTTCATGTTTCTATTTCAAAGGGAGAAAACTGAATCTGGAAGTAAAATAGTTATAGAAGCCACACCTAGCTTGAAGGGAATGCTCAGTACAGTGAACTGGGCAATCCTAAAGCAAACCATGGACCAGTGTTTGAACAGTTTCCTGGCTGAGGCTTGCTCTTGACACTCAGAGTACCAGCTGCTCCAAGCCGACATTGGCAGAAGATTGCAAGAGTCATTGCTGCAAGTCACCAGTGGATAGTGAAGGAGATGCTGAGCTAAAATGCAAGATGATAAAAGGTAAAGAGAAATGTCCTCATATGTTTGTTTTCATTGGTTCATCCATAGCCATGACTAGTCTGCTCCTAACAGCAATTCCCAGGCAAAGCTGCCTTAGGAGGGTTTCTGCCCTGTGAGGGGAATGAAAAGGACAGTTATTTTTGGTGCACGTTTCATTGTCAGGCAGGTGTAAACTTGTCAAATGACAAGGGGTCCTGGGAACCAGAACACTCAGATGTTGAAATGGAGGAAGTGGAGGGGCTTATCTCAAGGGCAGCCTCCCAAGATGTTCAGGGTGACATTGAGAATAGCCAGGATTTACACTTGTAGGGAAGGGGCATGGGAGAAGAGCTCCTGCAGCCAGCCAAGACTGGCATGACTCTTGATCCCATGATGTGATGTTGGGTGAGATGGATCAACCAGCTAGAGGGGAGACAGACAGAGAAGAGGCTTTGCCGTTGTTTTTGTTGTTAGTTGCGAAGTCGCGTCTGACCCATCGCGACCCCAAGGACAACATTCCTCCAGACCTTCCTGTCCTCCACCATCCCCCGGAGTCCACTTAAGCTCACACTGACTGCTTCAGTGACTCCATCCAGCCACCTCATCCTCTGCCATCCCCTTCTTCTTTTGCCATCTATTGTTCCCAGCATTAGGCACTTCTCCAGGGAGTCCTTCCTTCTCATTAGGTGGCCAAAGTATTTGAGTTTCATCTTCAGGATCTGGCCTTCTAAAGAGCAGTCAGGGTTGATCTCCTCTAAGACTGACTGATTAGATCGCCTTGCAGTCCAAGGGACTCGCAGGAGACTTCTCCAGCACCACAATTCACAGGCAGCAATTTGTTGGCGCCCAGCCTTCCTTATGGTGCAGCTTTCACAGCCATACATTGCAACTGGGAAAACCATAGCCTTGACTATACGCACTTTTGTCGGCAGGGTGATGTCTCTACTTTTTAGCATGTTGTCTAGATTGCCATAGCTTTCCTCCCAAGGAGCCTGCATCTTTTAATTTCTTGGCTGCAGTTACCATCCGTGTTGATCTTGAAGCCCAGGAAAATAAAATCCATCACTACCTCCATTTCTTCCCCATCTACTTGCCAGGAAGTGATAGGACCAGATGCCATGATCTTAGTTTTCTTAATGTTGAGTTTCAAGTCAACTTTTGCACTCTCCTGCTTCACCCATATCAAGAGGCTCTTTAGTTCCTCTTCACTTTCTGCCATTAGAGTGGTATCACCTGCATATCTGAGGTTGTTGATGTTTCTCCCAGCAATCTTAATTCCAACTGGTGATTCATCTAGGCCCACCATTCTCATGATGTGCTCTGCATATGAGTTAAATAGGCAGGGCAACAATATACAGCCTTATTGTATTCCTTTCCCAATATTGAACCAATAAGTAGTTCCATGTGCAGTTCTCACTGTTGCTTCTTGACCCACATACAGGTTTCTCAAGAGACAAATAAGATGGTCTGGTACTCCCATCTCTTTAAGAACTTGTCACAATTTGTTGTGATTCACACAATCAAAGGCTTTAGCAAAGTCAATGAAGCAGGAGTAGATGTTTTTCTGGAACTCCCTAGCTTTCTCCATGATCCAGTGTATGTGACCACCCCATCATGGTTATCTGGGACATTAAGAGCTTTCTTGTATAGTTCTTCTGTGTAATCTTGTCACCTCTTCTTAATCTCTTCTGCCTCTGTTAGGTTCCTGTGATTTTTGTCAGGCAGGCTAAAGCAATTCTTGACTTCTTGACTTTATTTTATAATTGTAAGAGAATGATATATCCATAGAATCTGTGACTTCCATGATTCAATCATATCTTCCTCATAACACTGAACAAAAGTAGACTGAAGGGAAGAATATATATTTCATTCTGCAAAATTATAGTAGGGGGTTTAAACATTGACTGGCATTACAAATGTTCCCACCACCCACAATTGAAGCTAGGAAGACTTGGGGATTAGGAATGGAGTCTTGCACTTATTCTAACAAACAAATTAGAATAAGCATGTTCTGAATACATCCAGAATCCACCCTTTTGCATGCAATAATAATTTGGAGGCCAGTAGCAGCCCTTTGCAAAACACATACACACACAAACACACACACACAAATCCTGTTTTGTCATGCCCCCACTAAATGATCCTCACTTTGAAGACCCAGATTCTCCAGCAGCTGCAGAGGACAGAGAATCTGGAGGAGCCTGGGCACTTATTTTAAATTAAGCCCCAAATCCTGTAATGAACAATGCAGTATACTGCAGAGTGCACATTTCAGGATAATTCATCTTCAATGAATAATACGTTATGATTTATTAAGTTCCTATTCAACTTCCTATTCTTCTGGACCAAAAAAAAAATGTTGGTTTCCTGGTTGCAAAACATGGAATCACAGTATTTATTCATTTGTTGGAAAAATCACATGGGCCTAGGTTTACCTTTTCTAGTTGCTATTGTCTGTCTAATGACATAAACCATTGCATTCTGTGAAGAACAAGCAATGCTTATATATTTAGTTTTTCTATCTTTGCTGCTTTCATGCTGAAAGTAGAAATGATGATGGGACTGACTCACTACTTTAAGCACTTCACAGTACATTTAAATGTTTAAAATATATAAATATAAATAAATATAGATATTATGAGAGCCAGTGTGATGTAGTGGTTAAGAATGTGGGACTGGGACTGGGACTGGGAAATCTGGCTTCTAATCTCCACTCAGCCATGGAGCTCACTGGGTTACTTTGGGCCAGTGACAGACTCTCAGCCCAGCCTACCTTCCTGGGTTTTTGTGAGGATAGGATTGAGAGGAGATGAATTATGTGAGCCACCTTGAATTCCCTGAAAGGAAAAAAGGAAGGATAGCAATATAAGAAATAATTTCCATTGGTTTTAAAATAAGCAGTCATAACCAATCACATTTAAGCTGCAGGGAGAAAAAAACCTTACTGAATGCTTAGCATTTCAGAGAATCTAATAAATAAGAGTGTCTGTAAGTGGACGCAGAATTGTTTTTCTTTCTTATTTCTTCACCTCACTCACTCATCCCCCTCTTTATCCCCCACTGCCCTTCTGAAACTTACGGACATGTAAAGGAACACAGTCTCATAACATTTTAAATCATTACAGTCATGTTTTTAGATAGTAAGCCTGGGGGCAGGAACTGCCATATTAATTCCACATAAGCCACTCTGGGAGCTTTCTAGCTGGAGAGCAGCATATGAAAGTAATTTCAAAAAATCAATCATAATATATAAGATAAGAAATAACTTCTAGCAGCTGTTACTGTTTCACCTCAGAAAGAGATATTTTTACCATGCATTCATTACTCAACAAAAAATCAAGCAAAGTGACATTTTTATTGTATGATCACAGGTTGCTTAATCTTGAAAACTGGTGTGACTTGGGGTGTGTGTCTTTGATAGGGGTGTGGCTTTGTGGTGTGGCTCTATCATGAAGGGACCCTCCACTTCTAAATTTGCCACTACACCACTGTTTAGTACGTTGGAGTGGGAAGGGAGGAAAGGAGACTGGCCTCTTCAGTTTCCTGTATCTCCATCCCTTGGAAACACCCGACCCTTAATATCAAAGTTTGAATGCTGGAGAGACAGCTGCTGTGGTTTTCTGGATTTTGGTTGAAAGGGATTTTATGAGCAATCTTATGGACCCCAAGGATCATAGGATTGCTCTCAGTGTCTTCAAGGACACAAAGAATGCTGAGATGCACACCACTAGGGTCCTCTTAGTATGGATGCCAGTTTCAAGAGTCTAGGTTCCATGGTCTTGAAGCTATGGTGCTGGTAGGCACATATCTTCTTTTATCAATATGGAAGATAAGATGCATAAAACTTATATACAACTAAACATAATAAAACCAGCCATTTACATATGTGCTAAGTAATTAAGTAATTATATAAAAAGTAATTGAAACTGACAGCAGAAACAAATTCTAAAATGAAGCAGGAAAAATCTGTGTAAACAAATAAATGTTCAAAGGTGTTTGAAATTTGCCACTGTTTCTGTACCTTTCCTTATCACAACTGGACTGCTAGTCTCTAGATTAGGGGGAACATTTCTAAGAAAATTTGACTTCTAGACATTTCCCTTTGCTCTGAGTTAAGCATCGGTTGTCTGTAATGTACCATGAATTGAAACACTTCATTACCAAATTTTCAGAACACAGATCATATTTGACATTTTTTACTTATTTAAATTTTTTCTCATTTAAAAATTATACATAGCCTTTCAAAACTCTTTTCCAACAGTGGGTTCATGAATTAAAGACCTGCTAAGACCTGTTGCCCAATCTCAGATTGATAACAATGATTAATTAATGCTCCATTGCTTAGGAAAGATACAGTAGTACTTCAACCAATTCATTATTCCCATATTTCATTGATTAAGCTGTGCAGGCTTAATCAATGAAATTGGCAATCAGATGAAATTGCTGTGGAAATCATAGAATCATAGAACAGTAGAGTTGGAAGGGGCTTTGAAGGCCATTGGGTCCAACCCACTGCTGGTGCAGGACACCACGTTACACCATCTCACGCAAATGGCTGTCCAAATAGCGGTGCCAAACCTGGATCTCTTCGAATTTAATGCAAAGTTAATGCAAATTGATTGTCTGTGCCCCTTTGGCTAACACTGGAAGAATAAAGTGTCACCTATGATAATACAATAGGTGGAGAACTTAATGAACTTTTCATTTTTGAATGGGTGAACTTTAGGTTTAACTTGAAATGGAATGATAGAGATATTTAGGCTGCCTTTGTTGAGGTGTATGCATAATTACAGTTTGCTACATATAAAATATATAGAGATATATGTATTTAATGTTATGGATTTCTTTATATCTTACATAAGAAAATTTTAACAGTTATTTCCTTTGTCCTCTTCTCACTGTCATTTTCTAGGTTTTATTCTGAATCAAATCAAATCTTAGGGGCAGAAGCTCCTGAAGTTGCCCAGATGAAAGACAGTTTCTGAATACACTAAGTCTGCTGGCATAACAGTGAGCTTATTTGCATGCTGTTCACTTTAGTGCATGATAAACTTTAAATTTATGCCTTAAAAAAACCACCAGCTGTATGCATGAGCTGTGTTCAGTTCTGCTCCTTGGTTTTACAAATTATGTCAGAGTAAATGATTCACCAACTTAATTGAGACAGTATTTTTGTAGCAGACATTAACAAGTCTATTTAGTTCCAACAACACTGGCCAGGCTTTTACAGATACAGGTACCCCTGAGAAGAACTATAGGTAAGTAGAAAAAAGAATTTATTTTTGCAAACTCACAGAAATTTGACTTTTTGGGAAAGTTTTGTATATCTTACATATTGTATGCTAGATATATAGCTAGATGTAAGTAAAAAGTTACATGCCCAGCTCCTATATATGTTCACAGTATATGCAGGAATGGAATATCCAAAAAGATTATACAAGAGAAGCACAAGAGACTGTTTAATCTTATCAGTTGAGGGAGAATAACCATAGTCTGAAAGTGGGAAAGCAATCTCCACTAGAGGGAAATGGATGGAGAACTGTATGGGAACAAACCTGAAATGGCAGCCAAGATTAACACTTGGAATGCCTCATCAGAACTTTTGATCAAGGGAGGGATTGGTGCAGCTCAGGAGAAATGCTTTCTCTTTTTCACTTTCTCTCCCTGAATGAGAACTATATAAAGTTAAGCATGTAAGTGCCAGGGGAAGTGGAAGAGAGTTCTCACCTCAGGTAGGTTGAAGGATAAATGCTGTAACCGTCTACCTCAGCTAAACTCTCTGGAAGATGGTGAGTAGAGAAGTAGCAGCAATCAAAAAATTGGAACACTTTTCACAAAGCCTAGAATCTTTCTTAGGTGAGTTTCCACTGAGTTTCTGTGCATACATTTGTCCATATGTGTTGATATAGAAGAAAGATTGATGAGCAACTTTTGGAAATATACAGACTGAAAAAGAAGATATCAGAGATATCCAGAGATATCATTAAACTTTGGATGATAGAGGACAAAATAAAAGCAAACAGAAGCTGTGATTTGTGAGTTTCTCTGTCCATTATCTTGGCCTGAAAACCATGCATGAAGAATGTGAATTAGAAAGCAGTCCCAACTTGAGAAAAGAGAAGAAGTAATATACCTACTGATGGGAAAGTGCACCCGCATTGTGACTATCTCTGTTGTGACATGTTTATTTCAGGTAAGATACCTTGGTTCCCTCTTACAGATTAGTCAAAAGTGAAAGCTGGACGGTGTAAAGCCAGTAGGAAAGATAGGAGGGTTTGGGATTAATTTGTAATGAAAAAAAAAGAGGAATCATATCTCAAGCATGCAAATATTATCAATATTATGGGAAAGGGGGAAGATAAAATTAAGGTTAAAATTGAAAGAATGAGAACAGAGCTCATCTTAATTTTCTTCTCTTTGAAGATTCCTCAGGTAAAACTGGAGGAGAGCTGTACAAACACTGCCCAGTGAGTATATCCATATCTAAGCACATTATAGTATCACAGATGTATGGATGAAATTTTCCTTCAGTATAGAAGGATGATTTGGGGAGGGAACTTACATGTTATGTGGTGGATTGACTAAGGAATGCTGGGAATTTAAAGTTGGGACCAATTTTTTTTCAACAATTTGCTGGGTGTGAGAGGGAAATGAGTCAAACAAATAAGAGGAAGAAATTTTGGGTGGCATTTGTCACGTGTATTGTTTACCCGTACACTAAATAATGTCTACTTTCTCTTGCTTTTTTATCTTAAAAAAGGGCCATGCATCACTCACAGCTTCATGTTAGCTGCACTTTTTAAAATGCCTTGAAATAGCACCATGTTGTATGACATTATTCACAAGGCAGTTTAGGAGAAAAGCTGTGGAAAGAGCCTGATGCCACTGTGGCAGGGGTGCAATAAGCAAAACAGCAACAACAAAACCCAATCCCTCACAAACAAAAATGTTATTCATTTATCATTATTTATTCCAGGCATTTGTATCCTGTTCTATCACCAAGTGCTCAGGACGGCTTACAAAATATAAACATACAATATAAAATATAAACATACAATATAAAATGTCAATTATTAAAACAATATAAAACGCAGCACAACTGAAGAAAAAGGAGGAAAGAATAGAAAGTGTGACTGTGAAGGGAAAAATCCTAAAACACCTAAAAGCGTTGGTTATTAAAATAATGGTTGAATAAAAAGGTCTTTACCTGGTGCCAGAAAGAATATAACGCTGGTGCCAGGTGGACCTCTCTGGGGAACAGAGTCCATAGCCTGGGCGCCACTGCAGAGAAGGCCCTCCTTTGGGTAGACATCCTCCATACTTCCTTCAGAGAGGGTTCCCGGAGCAAGGACTCCCTCCCTCCCCACCAATCTTAAGGGACATGAGGGCTTGTAGGGAAGGAAGTGATCCTTCAGGTATTCTGGACCTAAGCCATTTAGGGCTTTATAGGTTAATATTAGCACCATGAATTGGGCCCAGAATTCAATTGGGAGCCAGTGTAGCTGATAAAGGACTGATATAATAGCTGTTATATGAGAATAACAACCGGTCCCCATCAGCAACCTGGTAGCTCTATTTTGTACCAATTGAAGTATCTGGACCGTTTTCAAGGGCAGCCCCACAAAGAGCACATTACAATAATCCAACTGGGAAGTTACCAGGGCATGAATCACCATGGCTAGGCAGTGCTCTCCAGGTAAGGACTGGAGCTGATGAGCCAGCCAAAGCTGGAGGAAAGCGCTCCTCGCCACCACCGTCACCTGGACTTCCAGGGATAGGTCTGGGTCAAGGAGCACTCCCAAGCTGTGGACCCTGTCCTTTTTTCTTTTTCTTTATAAATTGTATTAAATTTTTTAAACTAACACTAAAAACATCAATCATCAAATACATCAGACATACTGGGTCAGCCCCCTACTCATTTTTGTTTTTTTTAACATTCCATAGTCATATTCAAATCTACACAAAGTCCCGTTTCTCTAGCCAGTAATAAAAAGAGTTCCAAGTTTGGTAGATATATGTATCTTCTTTCTCCTTCAGAGATAAAGTCACTCTGTCCATTTCTGCGCAGTCCAAAATCTTTTTTAGGATCAGTTCATCAGCAGGTGGCTCTTCACTCTTCCAATATTGAGCAAATACGATCCTTGCCACAGTAATTACATGTAACAGACCCTGTCCTTTAGAGGGAGTGCTACCCCATCCAGTACAGAAAAGTCACTTACCTGAAAATCCGAACCGCTCACCAAAAGGACGTCCATCTTATCTGGATTGAGTTTCAGTTTATTGGCCCTCATTCACCCCATTACCTCGAACAGGCACTGGTTCAGGACAGCTACTGCCTCACCTGGATTAGTTGTAAAAGAGAGGTAGAGATGGATGTCATCAGTGTACTGGTGATTCCTCAGCCCAAACCTCCTGATGACCTCTCCCAGTAGTTCCACGTAGATGTTAAATAGCAAGGGGGACAAAATAGAGCCCTGTGGTGCTCCATGGCACAACTGCCATGGCACAGGGCTATAGTCCCCCAGCACCACCTTCTAGAATCACCCGGCCAGATAGGAGCGGAACCACTGCCAAGCAGAGCCCCCAACTCCTAACCCGGCCAGCCTATCCAGTAGGATACCATGGTCGATGGTATCGAAAGCCGCTGAAAGGTCCAGGAGAACCAATAGGGAACCAACTCCCCTGTCCCTCTCCCTGCATAGGCCATCGTACAGGGCAACCAAGGTAGATTCAGTACTGTAACCAGGTCTGAAGTTCGACTGAAATGGGTCCAGATAACCCATTTCATCCAAGAGTGCCTGGAGTTGTCCCGCCACCACCTGCTCAAACACCTTGCCCAGAAATGGGATGTTGGCCACTGGTCTATAATTGGAGGCCCTCTCTGGATTCAGGGACGCCTTCTTCAGGACGGGCCTGATCGCTGCCTCCTTTAAAGGGCCAGGGACCTGGCCCTCCTTCAGTGAGGTGTTGATGACCTCTGGGACCAATCCCGTGACTGGCTTTTGTAAGCAGCCATGAAGGGCAAGGGTCAAGTAAGCAGGTGGTTGGGCATACTATTCCAAGCATCTTGTCTACTTCCTCAGGCCGCAGGTTAAAATTGATTTAAAATATTACTCCCTCCAATCCATAGGAAAATGTTCTTTCATTTATGCTAACAGAAAATATTTTTGGGAAATTAAGGGGGAGGGATTTTGTTTCAGAATTCATTGTGACGCTCAGCAATTCCAGGGTGACTGTGCAGGATTAGACTGGTAATCCTAATGGTGAGAGAGTTCCTGAAAGCAAGGGCTGAGCACCACGGAGTGTTTAGGTGAATGGCACAGTTGCACTGAAACCTGGGTGGAGATGAAGGGCTCCTCCCTAGCCATGTCTAAGTGTCAACTTGAGGATCTTTTGTTCCCTAGGGCAAGGCACCATGAGAGAAGCAGAGTATATGACAATGCTGCCTGTGACCTTCTTTGGTACTTTCTCCATAGTCTGAATGGCAGCACTTTTAGGGAAATGTTCCTTTTGCCAAACATGGAGTCACAGCAAATATTTTGGAATCCACCAATGGAGATGGGGGCAAAGGAAGTTAACTCCCTTTTGTGTTGCCTTCCTGCCACTTGAGGCATGGAATTTCAACTCTTGCAGGAGAGTTCAGGGAGTGAAGTTTATAGATTTCATTAAAGCATCCCTGTTGAGGAAGAATACAAATTTCAACAATTGTGCATAATAATGTATAGGGTAAGGAAGAGGGAAAATAGATTAAAGAAAGAAAAACCTTCAGACTGGATTTTCCATTTCCTCCTGCTTGGTTGCTTGCTTATTTGTTTAAATGTATACTATTTACAATTAACTTACAAGAAGAAAATGGAAAGAAATTCACCTTTAGGAAACTGTTTGCCAAAAATATTTTGCTACTAATTGCAGTGGGGGAATCATGCCATTTTCAAACTGTCTACTAATATTTTCACTGTTTTTATTTGGGCTCGTTCAATTTCACTCAAGTATATTATTTCATGACTATAGTGTTATGATGGCTTGCTTGCATGCATGTGAACACACCATCATAATCTTAGAACATCTGGTGCCTTTCAGGTATTTGGACTTCAATTTCCATCATTCTTAGCTAGCATGGCACATGCTGGCTGGGAATGATGGGATTTATACTGCAACACATCTGGTGGCACCAGGTTATCTATCATGATGTTATTTTAAAGATATCCAGTTTTTTAAAAAATTTGCTAAAAAAGCTCAGAAGATATGAAATAAACAAAATAGCACCGTTCACAGAATTTTCATATCTCAGTTCCTCAAATGCTAGATGCCAGTTGTATCATATATTCAGGAGCCAGTTATCAAGTGTGAAGTGAACAGCATGTGGAAAAGAATGTTTTATTTATTTTACATTAATATGTTCTTGAAATTATTTTCCCTCCAAAGATGTTCAAATACAAACTGGATCCACCTCTGGTACATCTGGTAAGTTTAGGAAAGCACATTCTATTGAAGTAAATCTTTAATTTGTGATTTTTGATGCATCATCTACATATATATATATATTATTCTAATGTATGTATTTTAATTTTTATTTATGTGGATCTAATTTATTGTTGTAAGCTGCCCTGAGGCTTTGGCGAATGGGGTGGCATAAAAATGTTTTAATAAATAAATAAATAATATAAGTTTCACATTTCTTAAAGCCTTTTCACGTAACTAAAGAATCCACTATCTACAACTATCTAAAAATCAGCAGACTTGTCACCCCTTCTTCCAGGTAATTGATGAACAGATTAAACAGAATTGGTCCCAGAACTGAGCCCTGAGGGTCCCTGCTCACTGACCACCATCCCAATGATTCCACACTAAGAGTTACCATCTGCTTTTGGTCAGTCAACCATGCCCTAATCCATCGGACAGTGCATTGGTCCATCCCAAAACTCCTCAATTTCTCAATCAGGATATCATGCAGCACTTTGTCAAAGGCCTTGCTGAAATCCAAGTAAACCACATCGACCATGTCCCCTCCATCTAGACACCTTGAAACCTTGTCATAGAATTCCACAAGGTTTGTCTGGCAAGACCTGTTTTTGTGGAAGCCATGTTGTGTGGCTGCGAGCTTCCCTTTCCTATCTAGGGTCTCCAGAGCATTTCCAGTTATGAGCCTTTCCATTGTCTTGACTAGAATGGACGTAAGACTAACTGGTCTGTAATTCCCCATGTCCCTTCTAGTACCCTTTTTGAAGACTGAGACCACTGACATCACCCTCCAGTCCTCTGGAACCTCACCCATTCTCCATGAGGCCTCAAAAATGGAGGTCAACAGATGTGAAAGTACACCTGCCAATCCCTAAATACCCTTGGGTGTAACCCGTCAGGGCCTGGAGGCTTTGTAACATCCTGTGCCCTGAGGAGCTCCCAACTTCTAGGGGGTTGACTCTAATCTGTGCCACTAAATCCCTGGCCCCATCTGATCCCCCATGCAGATCTCCCCTGTCCTGCTTTGGGGACAGAGGCAAAATAGTCATTTAGCATCTGCGTCTGTTCCCTCACATCAGTCACCGAATCTCCTTCCTCATTAAGCGGTTGCACTGCCTGTCTCCCCTTCCTCTTGTTATTTACATGTTGGTAAGAGCTCTTTCAGCTCATAATCAGCCTTAGCCTTGTGAAGAATCCTTCTGCAATGAGCCTCCTCCTCCCGGTATACCCTTTTGTTTACTTGTCCCAGTGCCCGTTTCCTATGGAGGTTCCTCTTATGCCTTAATCCCTCTTACCTCTTCTCTTATCATCCAAGGCGGCGCTCTCCTTCAACTCTCCATCTTGTTAACTAGCGGTATCGTCTAGGCTTGAGCCTCCAAGACCTCCCTTTTCAGCACCATCTACCCCTCCTGAACTCCTTTGCCTTCCAGTACTCTCTCCCAGGAGTCTTTTCCCAGTTTGGTACCCTAATTGGCCCCAAACTGCAGACAGGCAATTTAGAGGAAAAGTGCCTGAATTTCTTTCCCAGAATTCAAAGTGCCTAGTGAACCTGCCCAACCCCTGCCTGGCCATTTCCTATACATGTCTTTTTGCTTTCCTATCTAAGCTTTTTATGAAGCTACATGGGCTTCCTTTGTTGTCTTCTACCCTTGTTCCTCGTTGGAATTGTTTGTAATTATGCCTTTAGAATTTCCTTTAAAAACAGTCATACTCATCTTGGGTTCCTTTTCTCATTAGAGTCACTCATTATGGGACTTTACTCATCATTGTACTGAGTTTATTAAAACTGGTTTTCCTAATATTCAGGGGATGTTTTGGCTACATTTGGCTTTTTCTTCCTTTAGAATCAGGAATTCAAGGATGGCATGGTCAGTTTCCCCCCGAGTTCCTGTAGCTGCCACTTTGTCTAGTAGGTCTTCCCTGTTGGTTAATATCAAGCTGAGGATAGTGGTTCCTCTTGTTCCTTCTGCCACTTTTTGTTGAGGAAGTTATCTGCAACATATGTTAGGAATATCTTGGAGGGGCCATGCTTGGCAGAAATTGTCTTCCAACAGATATCAGAGAAAGTGAAATCCCCCATAACAATGACATCGTGCCTCCTTGAAACACTGGCAGTGTGCTTTTCAAAAATTTCATAATTTTCTCCTTCACTTGGTAGTTGGTAATAAGACTGCAAGCACCTGTGTTCCTTTTATTCTTTGTTCCATTTGTACTAATCCAGATGCTCTTGATGGGGCTACTAAACTCGGCCTCCTGTATATCTGTGTATTCATATTTCTACATATTCGTCCTACTGTTTTTGGAAGACTATTTTTGGGCACTCCCTGCTCTCTCTGTTGTGTTTTGTCTGTTGTTATTCCCATGTGTGCCTCTCCATCCCCTGTAGGATTCAGTTTAAAACGCATGATCATCTTCATGCTGTGGCAACCCGTTCCTTGCCAGCAGTTCATCTTCCAGAAAGTATAGCCTGTGGTCCCAGCATCCAAATCTTTCATGTTGGCACCACTTTTGTAGCCAGGCATTCACCAGCAGTATTTTCCTCTCCCTGTCTACTCCTCTTCCAAGAACTAGAGGGATAGAATACACAATTATCTGGGCCCCAAATGTCTTGAGTTTCCTCCCTAAAGCCTTGAAGTTATACTAGCAGTGTATTTCTTGTTCCACTCAAGTATTATTTTGAATGGAAGGCCTTGTGGTATTCCCAGCTTGACAGTTCCAACCCCTTGATTGTAAACAAGCCCCAACTGCAGATATGTTAACATCAAAGGCACAGCTGGTCTGTATATGGGTACTTCTTGTTTGTGCAAACTTCCCCTTTTATAGTTGACATGTGTTGTGCATATTTAATAGCATGATATAATCTTTGGCTCAGTGCAAGACATAGGAGGTGAAAACTGAGAAAAAGTGCCTCACAGATCAGGAGGTGAAGCCTAGTCAGATGTGACACAGCCTAGCAACATCTGGTCAAAAGAGAGGACACCACTGGGCAGGTCAGGGGAAACTTACTGTTGTGCTTGATGCCCAGAGGGAGAGCTTGAAAGATGGGAGGAAGGGTGAGGAACAAAATAATTCATAAAGCCTTGTTACCTGCTCCCGCACCGAACTCTACCAGAGACTCTGAGAAGCCATTGATGGATGAAATTTCCAGTCCGATACTGACGCCTTCACTGTGTTGTCATCCATACAAGTTTTTTGGTTGCAGGTAGATGGATGAACTAGCTTATACTGTAGGAAATTCTGATAAGTTTTCAGTGTTTCATCCAAGCATGAAATCTATGCTCGTTTCCAAAGTTAAGCTGTGCATTTCTCAATTTTGTACAGAGAACTGTTCCTTTGCATCTTTTTTCTTCTTGATTATCCATGTGTGCATGTGCACTGATTAAACTTCACAAAACTTGATGCAATGAGATTTACATCAATGCACTACTAATTAATATGGGGTTGGGTGGGGCTGAGGGGAAGATATAAAGAAACTGAAAGAACTAAATGCTGGAAATTAATTTTAGATATGTAGCTGTCTCCTTAAGGCCTCAGTGTTTAGTTGGCTATGTGAAAAATTTAGCAGAATCCACTGGCAAATGTTTACCTCCATAATCGACTGAGAGGTTAGGACAATTCTGGACTTACATCATTGTAATAGGCATATATTCCTACTTATCAATTTCTCTGCATTTCTGTTAAGTTTTAATAAATGGGTGTTGAACCTGAAGACATTTGGGGTGCATTGCTGTTTCTTGTTATTGGTAGAAATCTCTGACTCTCTAGTTCTTTGTTCATTTGTTTTATTATAATCTCCCTTAGTGTTCCTTCACAGCATGAGCAATAAATGACATCTGCTCTGATTCTTCATCTTCACTTCCAGGCTTGTGGTTGCAATTGGTGGGTTCTTCCTCCTTTGTGGACTTGTCTCTGTTTGTGTGAGGTGCTGTTGTCTTAACTGCCACGCAGCAGAGAATGATGCCAGCCACCAGCCATATGAGATCACAGTCATAGCATTTGATCATGACAGCACCCTTCAAAGCACCATCACTTGTAAGTAGAATGTCATCTTCCAAAGAACTGGGGAATACCAGTACTTGTAAAGAAGTTCCTAACCAGAATTCTGTGAACCTAGTATATCTTAAGGAACATCTTCCCTGTAATCATGCTACTAATTAAGATTTATGGGAGAGTCCCTACTCTAAATCCTATCTAATAGCAACAATGGCATGCTCCTCAGAATGGCTTTGGAATGGCTTGTAGGAAGAGGAAGTCCCATTTATGCTTCTCTCAGAGGTCAGGAGCTCCAGATTTATGGGCATTGCATTCATCAGACTACAAGGCACTTCTTTGAAAGCATCAAGAGAAGAAAAGCTAGTCATTCATGGGATGGAATAAATGGGATGGTGTAATTTAGTGTCCTGCAATAGCAGGGGGTTGGACCCAATGGTCTTTTGACCTCTTTCAACTCTATTATTCTATGATTCTATGTTTCATGCTGTTCCCCTGAAAATATGACATTGAAACTCATGCTTAGCTGTGATGCTGCAGTTCAGGAACTCTTTCCCAAAGCCTAACACCTATTTAGAAAACACAAAGTTTTTTGTTTATTAATTTAGACAAGCATTACTTTATAGTATGAGGCAAATTTTGTTTCCTACTGTAGGCATCCACAGATTTTTCTTTGCATATTATATCAGTGCACATAATGTCGCACCATTTTCCTGCTTGTTTCTTAAATTTCATAAGCAACTGCAGCAAAGGATGTTTCTTAACCTCCAACATGATTGACATTTGTGATTCTGAAAGTAACTCCTGATTTCTTTTCCCTTTCAGCCCTCCACTCAGTGTTTGGCCCAGCTGCTAGGAGATTAGTAGCAGTAGCTCGCTCCCACTGTGTTGTGCCAGCGGTGCATCAGCCTGCTGGGATGGAGACACCCCCCATTTATGAGGAAGCTGTACATATGAGTAGATTCACAGTGGCTCGAAGTGGAGAAAGAGCTCTAGATCTGGAGCCAGTGCCAGAGGAAAAACAGAATACAGATGATGAAAAAGTACATCCACAAGCAAATTGTTCATGAAGTCAAGGCTTCCAAGCCAAGCCTCAGCAAGATGTGTCTATGTTTCCTTTAATAATGACAATGGGACTTCTCCTTGAAGATAGCTAGAAAACGAGATGCTGTATTTTTAAAATAGTCCTCAGACTGCAAAGAAAAAAAAAAAATAAAAGCGCTTGTATGCCACTCTCAGAACTGAGCTTTGGCCAAGAGACGTTTTTCACTGGGAGTCTAACGTCCCCCGTTCATGAGATGAAATGGTTCAGTCTTGGGATGCGGACAGAAGGCAGAGCAGTATCTTCCTCTGTGACGTCACAATGCCCGGCTTAAACCGCGAGTGTTTGTTGTGTATCTTATGATCAGCTGAGCCAGAAGCAAGCCTGTCAGTCGCTGTTGGGGGTGCCGAGTTAGGTCTGAGATCCTTACGAGGCATTAGAATTATCGGTTAAGCAAGGAAGGGATAAAGAGAGGACAAGAAACTTAACGCATCAATCCAAGCCATGAAGTTCCAGTACAAGGAAGACCACCCGTTTGAGTACAGGAAAAAAGAAGGGGAGAAAATCCGAAAGAAATACCCTGATCGGGTACCTGTGAGTGGAAGTGGCATAATCAGGACCTATTCATTGCTTGCTTAGGCCAGCCTGTGTGGAACCAGAGCTTGTTATTTATCCGGAAGCTGTATTTTGTGGGTCGAATTTGCGGGGAGGGAAGGATGACCTCCTGAGCTCCTCTGCTTGCTTTCTGTTATTGCAGCCAGGGTGGGGGTGCTCCCTGTCTTTCGCGTTCCAAATGAGATCGTCCTGATTGTACGTGTGCTGCTTCATATGTGGAGGAGAGGACAGAATCCAGCCCCTCCCCGTCCCCACCAAACAAACATGGAGGCAGAAGGACAATGGCTGTGTTAATGATATAACCTTCGGAGTAAGCTTTAAAAGCTCCCGTATGATCATTCAGGAGGGAACCGGTCTTCTTTTTCTCCTCTGACCCCGGATTGCTTTTGGAGTCTTGCTCTGCAATGCTGCTTTGTCACACTAAGCGGACAGTCTCCCCCGCGGCTTATTGTTAACATTTGGTGGTGGTGGGGGGGGGGGGGGGCACAGGAAAGCAAAGTCATGGTGCCTCACCTGACATTTTCCCCTGCTCATCTGAAGGGCTTATTTGAAATTAGTGATGATTACCCTTCCCGGCTTTAATATTGTAAAGGGTTGTGCATTTTGATATACAAATGCTGCTTTCCTGGTTCAACCCTATACATGATTTCTTGGAAATAATTGCCACTGAGTCCAATAAGACTATTACTTCCTTGGAAATAATTGCCACTGAGTCCAATAAGACTATTACTTCCAAAAGAATAACTTTTCCGCACTAATTGCTTACCACACTTCTGACAACTTTTTTGTTCCTGTTCATCTTATGACAGTACAAGATGTTATTTCTCCAGATGGTTCCTTATTCATCCTCACAGAATTAATATATAGCAGAATTATGATGTTGTGTTATCTCTTGTTAGGAAATGGAAAACTAAAGTAAATAATCTGGTGTTTTTTTTTTAAACACCAGCACCTCTGTATGTTGTGATTTACTGGTATTTTAAAAGTTTTTGGTGAATTATAGAAAATGGCAGAAATGTTCGTTTCATAGTGTTGTTTTTTATATTTGCAAGTTGGGCATGGTAAATGCTTCTTATATAAATGAGAGAAATATGGATAACACTTGGGATATTTATGCGAGGTACTGAGTTAGCATTTAGGTTTACCGGTTAATGTCAGAATTGTCAGTCATTTTCTTTTGGGCCTTTTATTATTTTAAGAATACCTATGTTTAATAATCAAATTTCTGATGCACTTTGCAAAACCTTACCTAGGGTTGGATTTTGGGGAGTTGGGGTTCCACATTTAAGCCAGACAGAATACAGAGGCAAGCAGTATGGAGGCTGTGGGGCTCATTTAGCAGGTAGGCCCAAGATGCAGGCTCCATAGAGTATTTTTGGAATAAAGGATGCTGGCAAATTATTCAGATGAAGCCAAGATTAGAAGAATAGCAATCGTACTACAGGATACAGTTTGGAGGTGCCATGGGGTAGAACTGAAAGCTTGAATTATGGAAGACTTATTTAGAAGATTGCACACCATTCTGAGAGTTTTTACTATAGAATGGTATACATTTTTCTATGTATGGAGCTTCACTTAAAGAAAACAAGAAAGATAGTCAAGACTATTATGCCTGTGCTGGAAAGGAAATGGAATAGGTGTCACTGAAAATTGTCATTATTCCATCACATTTATATCCTACTTTTATTTCCCTTCTGAGGAACCTAAGAACACAGTTCTCTTGGACTCCATTTTATTCTCACAGCAACAAACCTGTGAGGTTAGGCTGAAAGTGACTATCCCAAAGTCATCCAGTGAGCCTCATGGCCAAACAGGAATTAGAACTTGGATCTCCTGGATCCCTAGTCCAAAGACTCTAGCTACCAGGCCACTCTGGGTCTCACAGGAAAGTGCCATACTTCACTTTCAGAGCACATGCAGAAAGCCCCAGGTTCATCTTCTGAACCTGCCATGACCAAGTTCCATTCCAGGCTGAGAGGCCTTAGAAGACTGATTCCAATGAGAGTAGGTGGTACTTTGTTATTAGGATCAGTGATCTTCTGTGAAAATGAAGTCAAGCAACTGATGAAATTTTGTGGAAACAGCCTTGTATTTTCTTTCAGCTTTCTAGTAGCCTGTTCCCTGCCATATACTGCAGGTGACCCAGTATGCAGCCCTTTCAGCTTTCTAACAAAGAAAATCTGGGTGTAATGCTTCCATGAGTATCTGGAAGCTACTACTGAGTGATGTCCACATTTGAAAAGAAGCTGTACATAACACTTTGGCGCCCCCCCCCTTCTATAGAACAAGTTGGACCTCCAACAAAAAATGCAGTGTGGAGGACCGTCTGTTTAGGATTCCAGCCAAAGCAACTAGCTATGCTTTACCCCCTTCCTCCAAGTTATCCATCAAAGCAACCCTCCCCAGAAATAGTCAGTGTTCACGAAGCAAACTTAATTTTCATTGAACCTTTTCTGAGGGGGCAGGAGGGTCACCTTCTAAGGGTTTGTTCTCCTGGTGGTTTTTGTGCTTCTGCAAACCTTGGAGTGGTCCCAAGTCTGCTGATACCTTCCCTTTGTATGAGGATGGTGAAATTTTAGCTGAATAAGAATCTATACTAGAAGAATTGAATTCACCATTGGAATATATGCTATCTTTGCATTCTAAAGCTGTGTTTATAAAAACAAATACCTTTGGATTTCAAGTTGGGGATAAGAGAATGCAAGATGGAAGATAAGGTAACAACAGAAATGAGACTGAGGTTCTGAGATCAAATAACTCCATGATCCTTTTATGTTTTTACTAATTCATAAAAATCTTCAAAAAATTTAAGACAGTGTTTACTTCCTAACAAACACTTTGCATCCCATAGCACATGATTCCTCTAGTGCTGGCTCCAGCACCTTTGATGGCCTTTCTATAAAGCACTCTCATTTAACTGCAAAAGAAGCGAGTCATGCAGCATGAGAAATCTCCCATTCTGCTTCTGACCTTCTTCCATGTGAAAACGGTGGGAGCCAAGGTCCCTTTGTTGCAGTCAGGTCCCTGGTAAAATGCTACTTCTCACAAACCACTGAAACAAGCTTCATCCCTCCCCATCTCCTCTCTATACCAACTCAAGTCCCTCTTGAATCTGAATCACATGTGGTCCTGTTGCATATCTTTGCTATAGAGAGTTGTTTGAAATGACAGTTTGCAGAAGAGTCAAGTCCACTTGTTTCTCATCTAGAAAAACTGGTAACAGTGAAAGGTTGGCAAACATCTACTTGGTTGAAATAAGGGAAAAGCTAGAGAAATTGTTAAAGATGCAAAGGCCCAGGAAAACAACCGAGAAAAGTTGTGAGGGGTTTTTTTCCCTCCCTTTTAGGCCTTTGCATTTCTGATTAAGTAGATTCCATTAGCCAGTATATACTTCCTGTTTTTCCAGTGAAGTCATGCAGTTATAGTAACCTCATAAGGACAGGCTTGTTGGAAAGCACAGAATGGTCTACCTTCTCCAGCATTCTCTTTCCATGGCGGCCAACCAGAGCCCATAGGAACGCACATAAGGAGGACATGAGAGCAACAGGACTCTCCTGCTCATAGTCCACCAGCAAGTGATATTGAGAGGCATTCTGCCTCTGGTTCTGGAGGCAGTACATAGCCACCTTGATATTATAAATAGCAAGCTGTGCCTTGGGCTGTATAGAAATGAGATGCATAATAACAACACTGAACAGCGAGTCCTTAAATAGCTGTTTCACATTCCTTGAATTTTGTCACATAGCCTTTGCAACCTTAGGCTCAGTAGGGAGATTTGAGACAAGGAACATGTTTAATGATGCATTTTCACAAGGTCTTTGACTAATTACCCTACCTTTCCTATTTGGTCAGGTTATTGTGGAGAAGGCACCCAAGGCCAGAGTGCCTGATCTGGACAAGAGGAAGTACCTTGTCCCATCTGATCTCACAGGTAAATGAATTGTGTTACATGCTATGTAATTATACTACTGTTTGAGGAATGTTTTCAGCATGCACTGTCTAGATGTAGAAATGTGGGACTCCAAGCAAGAAAGAAACAGAGTAAATTTACATTCACAAATATTTTAGAAGTCCCAAGATAATACAAAGTTCTTTGCCTGGTATCAAAAAGGCATAAGCATAGGTGTCTGATGAGGCTCCCTGGAAGGGTCTTCTACAGTTACATTTCCAAAAGTGAGAAGGCCGTCTGTCTGGCTGCCATCTGCCTTACGTTAGAAAGGTGGCCCCTTAACTATACAAGTCAAAGTGTAAATGACTTTGATGCTTGAAAATTTGCCAGTTTGAATTGGTTTTTCCTTCTGCTTCTTTCCCACCCTGATAATTGCAGTTGGTCAGTTCTACTTCTTGATTCGAAAGCGAATTCACTTGAGGCCAGAGGATGCCCTGTTCTTCTTTGTCAACAATACTATTCCTCCCACCAGTGCTACTATGGGTCAGTTGTATGAGGTAAGTGGAGCCTGCCTTTCCTTCCCAATGTTGGAATTGCTAGAATGACATATACTATACAGAATAGCTTTGCACCCAGTAGATGCCTTTATTATGTGAAACTTAATCATTCTTGTTCACTTATGTGCACTGTTTGAAGTGCACTGCTAGTTGCAATTTGCCACACTGAACCTTTGGGCATGGTTTGCAAAGCTTCTGTTGGATCTTGAAGGCACCTATAGAACGTAGTAGGAAGTTGTATTCCCTTAATCCAAGGGTGCATGACATCTGACCTACAGGCTGCGCACAACTCATAAGTATGTTGGGTGAGGCGTGCACAGGTTTTACAGCACCTTCAGGCAGCTGCCAGTGCTCCCCACTGTACCCCATCCTTCTGGGGTGCTCCATGTTTGTTTTGGGTGCTAAGGAAGGGTCTTTCCTATGTCAGCATGGAAGTTTAGCATTGGTTCTCCTAAGGCCACAAGGGTTTCCTAGTGCTAAAAATGCAGAACTCAAAGGCATGTTTCTAGAAGCGTAGTGAAAGACCTCCAGGTAACTGAGACACTTGGATTCTCTAAAGTAGCAGGTATACTGAATCTCAAGACTCTGCACTTACCATAATGAAATAGGACAGTGATCCCAAACCTTTTGGCACCAGGGACCAGTTTTGTGGAAGACAATTTTCCATGGATGGGGGGCGGGGGTTTTCGGAGTGATTCAGGTGCATTAGAGTGGTGCCTCATACTTCAAACTTACCTTGTTGCAGGAGGCTCTTTGAACTCTGAAGCATTTGAAGTCCAAAGATACGTTCCCCATTATAATAATGGAAAGTGAATTAATCCATTCCCAGACCTCAAACAATACCCATCTTGATAAACTTAAACAGTAAATATGCATAATTTAAGGTAAAATAACACAATTAAATGCCAACTTTATTAAATGAAACCTGAAAACAATTAATAGAATATGTAAATATGTACAGTACTCTAGAATAAAATGAAAATTGCATTCACTGCCCAAATTTTTAGTGAGGAGTGGTAATGCAGAAAAGGATTGAAAAGGCAGCGAGAATGAGTGGGAAGACAGGCAGTTAAAAGGCACTGAGAACAATTGAAAAGGCACTCAGAAGGATCGCAAAGGCATGCAGTGAAAGGGCATAGACACAACAAGAGATAAGAGACTGATGCAGTGACCACATATTTTTCTCTGTGCTTGCAACTGGAACTTGGAAGTGTCATTTGAACTTGAAGAGATTCAAAATTTACTCTAACTTTTGAACTCTGAATCTTGCCCGCTGCTCACCTCCTGCTCTGCAGCCCAGTTCCTAATAGGTCACGGACTGGTATCGGTCCATGGCCAGGGGTTGGGGATCCCTGAAATAGAGGCAGCAGTGACGGAGGTGACACAATGGCCTTGAGTGTGAAAATTGGACTTTATCCAATTTATCTTTCTATTTAGTAGCCGATAATGTTTCAAGTCAGGTTCTGGCCAGCTATTAATTTACTCACTTACTAACAGCAATAGGAAGAGAGGCTGATATCAAGCATAATGCTTCCCATGATATTATTATCATCATCATCCATGGTAATCCAATGAAACAGATGACAACACAGTATTTTTGTTTAACAGGGTATATTTATCTTATGGAAGTCTCTTATCTGTCATAAGATGTGGTGATAGCTTCTAGCTTATATGGCTTCATAAAAGGGATAGACCAATTAAAAAGAGCAGGCCTATCCGTGCAACCAGCAGTCCTTGAATGAATTGATCCTTCATGTTCTCAAGCAGTATAGCTCCAAATACCAGATGTTGAGGACAAACATCAGGAAATTGCTTTTCACCTGATTAATTAATCAAACAAGAAGGAATCAACCTACAGGAGAAGATATTATTCCTGGAGATAATTAGAGGAAACTTCAAAATTAAATCTTTAGCTTGTCCTCAACTAATAATGTACCTCATTTAAGGCCTTTCCCAAAACTTAAATAGTAACATCCGATATCAGGGCCAATGCTAACTTTCTTCAAAAGTAATATTTTGCTGATGGTCAAATGTAGTACAAAATCTAGAGGAGGAGGAGGAGTAATTTTTCAAACGACAATTCAAGGAGAAACTTCCTTTAGGTGCCATGTCAATGGAAATACTATAGGACTGAAATATTTTGAAATGAAAACCAGGTTACTGTTTTGCAATTTATGGAGCAATGAGGGAGCAACGCAGCTCATATAACTACACAAATGCAGGGAGGAAATATTAATTGGAATATTTTGGTTAGGTAAAATTCATAGCCTGCAAATATAGAATCATAAGAAAAAAGAAGGGAGCAGTTGCGCCTGCTATCCATGCACCACATGCCAACTTCTGACAAATTCACCCACGTAAGAAGTTTCCCATTGACAAAGAAAAGTATGTAAGTTTGCACCGAGGTAAATTATTTGCAGTGTATTGTTGACTCATAGACCATGAAGAGCATTCCTCACATGTGGAGGTTGGTGATTCATGATAATTTCCATCCTTTGCTGGTTTGGGTAAAGACAGGTAACACTAAAAAGAGAAGTTAATACTTTAAGCCATCTTTTTAAAGTTAGTTTTTAAGGTGCCGCAAGACTCTTGGCTCTAGTCTCTAGAATGAAGCTTTTTAAACAATTAGTGCATATCAGCCATTGCTCTGCAGGGTTTACCTCCAGAAATTTCATCATGTTACTAATATTTTACAGAGATTATTTTAGCAGGTGTGCTCTCAGTTGGATTTATCTGACTCTGGAGCCAACTAAGACTGATTTTAATGAAGAAAAGCTTAACAAGAGCCACCATTTTGCCTCACATTTCAAACTGGCCACTGTAAGCTGAAGGCTAGAACAAATTGGCACCATTCAGCCAAAGTCAAGCACCATACTGCTGAAACTAAGCAGGCTGACTGAAGGTGCAATTCTATGCATGTTAAGGCAGAAAAAGGTCCTACAACACCCAGCATTCCTCAGTCATCCAAAACTGTATTTTCTTTTTCCTGTTTAAACATGCATCAGATCACACCCTTAGTCTCCTATTTGGGCAGTTGACCATTGGGGCACCATGTATAAGAGTAGGACAAAAGTATAAGAAATAAAGCCTTGGTAGCCTATAGGAATAGAGAAAGTAATTTTTATAGGTTATCATACCCTTCGGTTTCTAGTTAAAAGTGAAATGAACTGGATTTTTGCATCTTATTGTTATGTGCTGTCAAGTTGTCTCCAACATATGGTGGCCCTATGAATGAAAACGCTCCTAACTACTTAGCTGTTCTAAATTCAAAGCTGTGGCTTCCTTTATGGAGTTAATCCATCTCTTATTTTGTCTTCCTTTTTTACCTGCCTTTGACTTTCCCTAGTATAATTATCTTTTTCAGTGAGTCTTGCTTTCTCATGATGTGTATCAGTTTTGTCATTTTTGCTTCTAAGGAAAGCTTTGGCCTATTCTGATCAAGGAACCATTTGTGTGTCTTTCTGTGGCTCTAGGCTATTCACAAAGCTCTCTTCTAGCACCTCTAGATGTTTTTAATGCATCAGTTTTCTTTCTAATCAGCTTTCACACTCATACATAGTGATTTGGAATACAATAGTGTGAAAGGTAGCCTTGGTTTCCAGTGAAACATGCTTACATTTGATGATCTCTTTTAGTTCCTTCATTGCTGCCCTCTAAGTCTCAGTCATCTTTGATTGTCTTGACTGCAGTCTCCTTTGGAATTGATGATTGGGCCAGGTATACAGAATCTTTCACAATTTCAATTTCTTCATTTTTGATAGTAAAGTTCCGCAATTCTTCTATAGTCATGACTTTTGTTTTCTTAATATTCAGCTCCAGTCCTGCTTTTGCACTTCAGTTTTCCACTTTCATCAGGAGTCATTTCAAGTCATTTCTGCTTGATGCCATTAAGATGGTAGCATCAACTTATCTTTAATAATTGATATATCTTCTGCCAATTTTCACTCCTCCCTCTGATCCTAATCCATCTTTCCTTATAATATGTTCTATGTATTGGTTGAATAGACACAGAGGTAAAATGCACACATGTCTGTTGCCTTTGTCTATAGGAAGCCATTCTGTTTCTCCACATTCAGTCCTAACAGTAGCTTGTCCACGATTCAGCTTATACATCAGGACAAATTAATGCCAAGGCACCCTCATTTCTTTCAGGACCACCCATAGCTTCTCATGATCCATACAGTCAAAGGCTTGACTGTAGTCTATAAAACAAAATGATCTTTTGAAATTCTTTGGTGTACTGTAGTTGCTACCATATATTTGCAATATGACCTTGAGTGCCTCTTCCTTTTTGGAATCCAGCTTGAATATTGAACATTTCTCTCTCCATACAGGGTTAAATTATGTGTTGCTACAAAATTATTCATTTGTGAGAGTGTGGTATACTGGTTAAGAGTGTGGGAGCGGGTCTCAGGCAATCTGAATTCTAGTCCGCACTCAGCCATGGAGCCAACTGGATGAGTTGGCTGCCTCACAGGGTTGTTGTTGTGAGGATAAGATTGAGAGCAGGAAGACAAGAATGATGTAAGCTGCATTTGATTCTTTTAAAAAGGCAGGATTTAAATTTAATAAATAATTAAACAATAAATTTTGAGTATCACTTTGTCTGTGCGGGAGATTAGTGCAGTGGCCCTCTGGTTGCTGCACTCTTCTCCATCTCCTTTCTTGGGGGCTAGAATGTATACTGAACATTTCCAGTCCATTGGCCATTGTTTTGTTTTTCATATTTGCAGGTATATATTCTTATGAAGATTTGAGCGGATTCATTTTCTGCAGCTTGGAACAGGTCTATTGATACCCTGTTTACTCTAGCTGCTTTATTCCTTCCAGTTGTTCTCAGAGAAGCTGTTACTTCACTTGTTAACATTGCAGCGTCTTCCTCATAGTTTTCTTCTTTGAAGGAGCCTGTCATTCTCCTTTATCTACTCCTTAGTAGATAAAATGGAAGTTACTGGAATTCTGGGAGAAACACAACACAACTGGTGTTGGTTATCACCTAT